CAGGAAAGATCTGGTCAAATTAGCTAACAATTGCTATTTTTAAAGACATTGAAATGTAAGCCAAAAAAGGGGCTTATGAAAAATGAAAATTAAAGTCGAAAAAAATAGTGTACTAGATAACTAGTTCATAAATTTTGAAATGCTATTCGAGAAGATAAGATTAAATAAATATATACAAATTAACATGTCGTTACATCAAAGATAGAATTAGGTAAAGTACTAGATAAAAGAATAATATAATTTATTAAACCTTAAATGTGCTTATATTGTCCCATAAGTCAAAATCTTTCAAGTGGTATTTTCTTAGGATTTAAGTCTAATTTATAATATCAAATCTAAAAAATTGCGTTTTATCACTTTTATTTGTATCATTCACTTATTTTTAAAATATAACATGTGTATTTGCCAAGTGCAAAGTTATGAAAGCTAAGCCTGCAATGAATTATTCCTTCTTTGGTTTGATATATTAGCTGTAGTGTTTATTTTCTTTAGATTATTTGGGAAGTACATTAGGGACGTATAAGCCATGACGTCGTTTCTTTCATTTATTCCCTGCCTCATGATCTCATAGATTGTGTTGTTCACAAAGGATTGTAAATAATAATTAAGAAATCATATTTATAAACATTCTCTGGCAAAGAAAGTGTTATTGTACCTTTATCATCGCCGATTACTGGCCAATCAAATCAGCACGCTTCTGAAATTGATTTCAATTCCGATTTCGGGCCCCCTTTCCGGGAATTTTTGTTTTTGGTCATGACGTCCGACATTTATTTATACGTCATGGATGTCGGCCAAACAATAGCGTAGCACCTGCCAGGGGCTCTAAGATTGTATATGTTCGGTGGTCGGGTTTATCTCTACATGGGTATATCAATAAATCGGTGATAAGTCGAATCTGGCAGCTGCTCCCCTCGAATGCACCTGAAATATTGAATGTTTTTTGACAATTTAACGCTGACAGACATTTGCTGACTATTCGATTTGAGGTGGGTTAATCCAGGGAATTACTTTCCGGGCGCCTTGGCTTATCTATGGGGAGTCTGGAAATACCTACGAATTGTCATTAACAGAATTTGGTGGTGCTGATATATCGATTTGTATTTTTTCCTATTATACATTAATTATTGCTCAGCAAGAAAAGAAGCTCATTTATGTCGGCAATCTAAGGTATACTTTCAGCAGTAACAACAATATATTGTTCAAGAAAACGACTATATTTTTGTTTTTATTGGCAGAGGATGAATGCTAAATCGAATAGAATGTACAAATTAGTTTGTTGGTTTTAACTCAAGTTCCTTGAGGCTCTAAATGGATCATAAAGTTAAAGCCAAATCGCTATAAGTCGCAAAATCTCGGAAGCTTATAACAAAAATAGATAACTATGTTTGAGGGATCTCTTTTTATATTATGGGGTGATTTTTATACCCTTGCAGAGGGTATTATAATTTTGGTCAAAAGTGTGCAACGCAGTGAAGGAGACATCTCCGACCCTATAAAGTATATATATTCTTGATCAGGATCACCTCCTGAGTTGATATAGCCATGTCCGTCTGTCCGTCTGTCCGTCTGCCCGTCTGTCTGTCCGTCTGTCTGTTTCTACGCGAACTAGTCTCTCAGTTTTAAAGATATCGAATTGAAACTTTGCACACACCCTTCTTTCCTTTGCACGCAGTATATAAGTCGGAACGGCCGGGATCGGCCGACTATATCCTATAGCTGCCATATAACTGATTGATCGGAAATGCCATAACTCTGCTGTTTGTTAAGTTAGGAAGTTGGAATTTTATATGGGTTTTATATTTGGCCAATCAATCCGACCTACCAAATGTCATAAAGATCGGCCGACTATATCCTATAGCTGCCATATAACTGATTGATCGGAAATGCCATAACTTTGGTGTTTGTGAAGTTAGGAAGTTGGGATTTTCTATGGGTGTTATATTTGGCCTTTCAATCCGAACTACCAAATTTCATAAGGATCGGCCGACTATATCCTATAGCCACCATATAACTGATTGATCGGAAATGCCACAACTTTGGTTTTTGTTAAGTTAGGAAGTTGGGATTTTCTATGGGTTCTATTTTTAACCAATCAATCCAACCTATCAAATTTCATAAGGATCGGCCGACTATATCCTATAGCTGCCATATAACTGAACGATTGGAAATGCCATAACTTTGGTGTTTTTAAAGTTAGGAAGTTGGGATTTTTTATGAGTATTAAGATTGCATCATATGAATAATTTTGGAGAATATAATTAACAGAATATTCTGCAAGGGTATATCAACTTCGGCTCCGCCCGAAGTTAGCTTTTCTTTCTTGTTTTGGAATTACTTTTCTTTAATTCTGTAGGCATTTATCGCAACATATTATTTATCATTAACGTGTGTCCCTTTTAAAGTAGAACATTTTGCTTCAATATATGAGAATATTGGTATTATAATTATTATATATATTTTATTTTATCTTAAGCTATAAGGTAAGATTAAAATTATAGAAATAGCATTTTGAGTTTTTGCGTAGCAGCTTTAATATGTCTTATTCATAACTAATTATAAGTGCACTTACTTGTATATAAACTTTGACGTAGTTCACCCTTCTACAAAGCTTCCCATATTATTTTGTCTAATTAAGTTATCAGTCAAGTTTACTAGACAAGAATATCATTGGGTATTGGCTTGTCTAGTTGTTTGTCTATTAAGTAATTTAAGAAAAAATAGGCTTTTGGCTTAAAGTTATTTTTATATTACATTGAACAATTTATGACTTAAAAAAAAATAACTACAATCAAAAGTGCATAAATCAAACTACAATAGAACAAACAAAATTAAAGAAGCTTCAAATTAAAGAACTACTATTTTTTACTTAATTGTATTTATAAGTTGTCATGCGTCAGCGGATGTTTTTTTTTGTGTAAGGCTTAATTACAGTTTAACTACTTAAATGTCTTTACTTTCTGAACGTAAAACATGTTGAGAATAGTAAAAAGTTAAAAAAATATTCAAGAAATGCAAAAAAATACTTTAAAGTCTAAATGTTGATAAACTGATGTTAAATTCAACGTAGGGAAAATACAATTTTAAGAGGGAATTAAATGTAAATTATAGTAATTATAAAATACATGTAAAGTTTTGGAAGAATATATATGAAGGAAGTTTTTTAGCAATTATAGATTTATTTTTTTGGAAATATATATTCTATAAATATATATTGAAAACACAACGTAAATACATATATCGAAATGGAACTTAGACTTTGAAATATTTGTTTATTGTGCAGAAACAAAACGAAACCACATGATCGAAAGTTAAAGAGTATAAAATGCATATGTACATATGTATGTATATTCCCGAGTGCTGTGCGAAAATGATCGATTCTTTCGGGCGGCAGAAGTCATTTTTATTTGGGGCACTTGACGTTTATGGTGGGCTATAGAGTAATTATAATCATAGGGTAATCTTTGACAAAGGCCAATAAAATTTGGTAGCACTCACAGATTACGAGGTAGCTTTTAAAATTAAATTAAATTACACTGCCCATCGAATTCCGGCTGAATACGAGCCATGTCATCCAATCTGGTCCGATATTGATGTACATACGTTACTTTCCATTTTGGGCAGGAGTAAATAAAGCCTCAAGTGGCCGTGCGATTATCGATTATCAGGTGTGCGAGTCAATCCACAGGCGGACATCGTAAGTGAGAGTTTGATCAAGATTGGGACCCACTCCAGTTCCAGTGGCGACTTACCTCAAGCACTCCTGCTTCTCGGTGCTGTTGCCAATTTACCCGAACCCCGAAATCACTGGAAAGGAATCTAATCGCAATACCAAATGTCCGGTTGAGCTTTGGATGCACCTCCATTTTGCGAATGCACAAAATTCAAGATAATGATGCGTAAATCCATACACATTTTGAGGACATTAGGAAAATAATCCCCATTTGAGGATTTTATTATTGATTTTTTTTAATAAGCTTCATGTTTGTAAAACAACAGTGTAAAAATTATATTGAAAATAAAAGTCCTAAATGAAGATTATTTTCCGTCCCTTTACTCAACTGATTTCAATTAGCTTTAAGAAATATTAATAATAATAAGTAAATATTACATAAAGAAGTGTAAAAGAATACTACGAGTTGATTTCGATTTTTTGATAACACACATTTAATTGTTTCATTATATAAACAGTAAATAAAGATTGGATTTCAAGAAGTAAAGCGCTAATTTTAGATAGGGGATTTCCTTTCGTTGATGTTTATTTTAGAAATAGAGAAGTCCAAGGGATTCCCTTACTTCAAAATGGAGGCAGTGAAGATACGGGGAGTGCGAGTTCCAGGCGCCACTATCTTCGGTATAAATATAACGTCAGACATTCGGCTTCAAGAGGCCTAAGAAATTAAAAAAGCCTTATCTGTAATATAAATTATAGGACACCAAGCACAGAGGTGAATTTCCAATGACAGCGTGAAATTGAAGTATCTCCCTCCGCTTGATGTTATAACATAGCTAATTGACGTCACCATGTGTCGATTGCCGATCGCTCGCCTAAAATACTAAAATAGATTCGGCACCTGTCCTCGAATCAATTGCTTCTCCGCGATCGGAGGACATATCGATCATATCGATATAGGGGCAGGGTCAGACCAAAGTCCGCCCCAAAATATCTTTAGATGGCGATGTATCAAAGCGCAATTAAGGGTGTTATCTTCAAAAGTTCTTAAGTGGTAAAAAAACAGACAGACGAAAAATGAGGCTCCTCCTAATAATAATTTGGTCGACTTTTAAATCATATCTCTGAAAAACCTCCTTGAAATTTGTTTATAAAAAAGTAATATATTTAATTTTAGAAGTTGAACTGCTAAAAGATCTGAATTTATCGATTAATAGATTTTTTATTCTCACTCCGTTATCTGTTGCTGTAAATATAAATATTTGGCAATAAATTTAACAATTTTATCAAGACTTTCAAAAGTTATACCAAGATCTAGATTGCAAATTTTCCATTGCTGAAATTGTTTTGATAATACAATAACATGAATGTGTTTATTGTATATCATTTTCCTAATTGCGATGCAATAGTGCAATAGCTACGATTGACCATTACTGGAAAATATTCACTATAATTTTCATTTGTTCATATAGAGTTTTCAGTTCATTAGGACTCCTCAATGTCGCAGACGACCAACGTATCCAGCAACATTTCCAGTGCGCAGGCAACAACGACAAACACCACATAGGAGATCATGCTGACCCATCCGACGATCTTGCCCAGCACAAACTTGTTGGCCACGAGGAACACGTAGAGGACGACAGCGGTGGCCACCAGCATGGCCGTGGTGATGGTGAGGGCCGAGGAATCGATCTCGATCTCATTCTGGTAGATCAGGCTCTTCAGCAGCCAGGGCAGTCCCAGGCACACGAAAATGTCAAAGGTGTTCGAGCCGATGGCATTGCAGATGGCCATGGAGCCGTAGCCTGAGGAAAACGCAACAGAGTGGTGGGTTCATTAACAGTAAATATGGATCTAGTAGATCTACACTCATAAATATAAATATTTTAATTTTCGAACTATAGCCATTAACAATCAAAACAATCTTTTTTTTTAATTTTATTTAAGAAAAAAGTGTTGGTAAAAAAGTGTAGAAAAAAATTGTTACTTGTTAATAAGGCGATATCAACATAAACAGATTTTTGAGTATTAATTGGTGAAAGTCGCATTTAAAAATATCATAGGAAAACAGAAAAATTAATGAAAGAAATTTTATAAAATGACAGCATAAGTTCATCAAATAAAGTATATTTATATATTGATATTTATATATTTTTTAAATTCTTTCGGTTGTTTACATATTCCTTTGGAATACTCACACGGGGTAAGTGCATTACCGAGTGTGATGCGAATGTGTTCTTAATAAACAAAATTGATTATTTTTGGCCAAATTTAAAAGATCATTATTCTATTTGTATGGCGGAAATCCACGTTTTTTGGTAAGATTATAAATGAGCTTTTATTCTTTTTAGTATTTAGTATTTAATGTTTAATGCTTACCCTTTTTGGAAACGATGTAGGAGGAGGCCACCTCGGGCACACTGGTTCCGGCGGCCAGTACAGTGAGCCCCATGATCGAGTCCGGAATGCTGAGGTTGTGGCCCACAACAGTGAGGAACCAGGTGAGCAGATAGGAGATCAGGCTGATCCACAGGACTGCCAGGAACATGGACAGGAAGAATATGGTGCGGACACTGGGCACGGTGCAGGCGAGCACCAGTTCCGCCGGATACTTGATCGCCCACCAGGTCCACTGGCAGCAATTGGAGCCCGGATCCGGTTTCGTGCACACGTGGTCCCGAAATGTTTTGAGCGGCTCCTCCTCGCGCGTCATGGGATCCTCGTCCAAAAGCTCCGACTCCGTGTGCTCCTCTGGGGAAGATTATTTGTATCAGATGTAGTGAAGTTCAATCCATTTATCCGAGGATTAATTCAATCTGATGAATACTTAAAACTAGAAGTTATAGCCGATTTCTCAATGTCATGTTAAGTTTCTAGTTTGCAATCAGTCAGAGAAAGTTAACAAGGATCCAAATTGTTTGAAACAAAACATCGTTTTCTTAATTTGTGTTCATTTGTCAAACGAAAAATCCAGTTAGACAAACATTTAAATAATATTAAGAAAGGTAATACTTCTGTAAAAGCGTGTTAGCTCAATGTCAAAACTTCACATGACATTGAGAAATGGGAACTAAGTCATAAATAATAAAAACTTTACTTACTGCGAACACAATTCTGGATCCGGCGGTCCAGGATAAGTTGAATGAGGTACAGAAGGTATAAAAGAAGAAGGACCAACGCCTCATACCAGTGTATATGCGAATCCAACAACATAACTGTGAGCGCTGCGATGGCCACAAGATACCAGATCGTGTCCCTCGTCACCGGCCAATAATCCAGTTTGGTCTACAAAAAGGCGAACAAAAAGATACAACTAATACGCAGCATTTAATGATACGCACCGATGGAGTAAAGATGCCGCAAACGCCAGCAATAACTAGGATATTAAACACGGATGAGCCCACGATAGTGCCCACTCCGATGTCCCCGTTAGTGATGAATGTTGCCACAAAGTTCACGAACAGTTCCGGTGCCGAGGTGGCACCCGCGAGGAAAGTGGCCCCGGCCACATCATATGTCATACGCAGGTCTGTTTGGAAAGGAGCTTTCGTTACTAATATAAACAAACAAGACAGGTAAGTTTTATATATGTTAATGTAATGTTAATGTAATGTTAATGTAATGTTAATGTAATGTTAATGTAATGTTAATGTAATGTTAATGTTAATGTAATGTTAATGTAATGTTAATGTAATGTTAATGTAATGTTAATGTAATGTTAATGTAACGTTAATGTAATGTTAATGTAATGTTAATGTAATGTTAATGTAATGTTAATGAAATGTTAATGTAATGTTAATGTAATGTTAATGTAATGTTAATGTAATGTTAATGTAATGTTAATATAATGTAAATGTTATGTTAATTCTATGTTAATGTAATGTTAACATGATAGCAAAATTAAACAAAGGCGATGACGTGGCCTATTGTAGCCTCGTCATCGTCGTTGTTAATTTTTTCTCGCCCTCGGTATTTATAATTCCCAATTAGTTCTAGTCAAAAAATTACGACCATGCGGTTGTGCCGGCCCATAAATCAGTTTTCTCGGATGCTCGAAAGTTGAATGTGTGTTTCTTGAGCGGGTCCAGACGATCAATGGCTATACCATCTAACCTGAGTGTGTGTTTCCTGAGCGGGTACAGATGATTAATGGCTATTCCATCTGACTTGGATTGTACACTAGGATGTAGGATCAAGGACCTCTCAAGGTTAATAGATTATATTATTATAAATTAATTCAATTAATAAATTATCTAAATTCTAATTCCAGATTATTTGTGTGTGAGTGTGTGATTGAGCAGCGGTTGCAGGGAATCACAGCGATACCTTCATACTTTGACTGGATGCAGTGCATCAGGGGTTTAACTGAGTATGTACATTATGCAACATTCATAGCAAAATGTGCAAATATGAGGCAGTGATATATTAATATTACTAATTTTAAATAAAGAGATCACATTTGATTTTTGTTTAAATAAGCTAGAATTAAGGATTGTATATGCAATATGGATCTTAAAAAAACAACGACTTTTTTTTGTCATTAAAATTAATTCCAAAGAAAATTAACTTTTTCAATTTTGTATGCAGGTTTTATGCAAAGGTATTTTCAAAAATAAAAATGACAAACATCGATCCCGAATTTTATATTATTAATTAAGGTTTTAACACAGATTTTAAGAAAATTAAAATAAAATTATTTGGAAGTTTGCCTTTTTGAAATCGGATGTCTGTAAGAAAAGTTATGAGTTTAGAAGTACAGGTTTTAGTTTACTTTTCGGCAGACCAGGGTTGCCAGGGTTGACGTCATTGATTCTGCTCAACTTAATTTTTAATAATCTTCTGGAATAATTGTTCGATTTTGAATGGTTTTTGTGTGTAAAAACATTTATCTACCATGTCTTTACAGGCTTACACGAATTTAGAGCGTTGGACGTGGCCAACTTTTGAAATAAAGTTTAACTGCATTTTACAAAGAGTAATACTGGTCAGTGATTCTATTTCTGTGTAGTGAAGTTGCAAAAGAAAGAAGATTTTTGGGAATGTTAGTGTATATATATATAAAGAATATATATACTTTGTAGGATGGAAAATAGCTCCTTCTTTCAGATGCGATCTTTTGACCGCAATTATAATACCCCCTTCTAACTCTAAGGTTTTGTAACTTGAATATCTTTTTGGCAAATGGATGTTTGGGTACGGAAAGTTCAAGGATGTATAAAATCAGGAATTTAAGATCTCACTGTAGCACAGACGCTCCATGGCTGGCACCAGGTAATCGTCGCATACAATCGCCAGGAAGACGAAGAGGTACATACTGAGAAAAAAAGACACCACGGCTGATATCCAACTTTTCTGTCGCATAAAGTTGGGAAACTCCACGATGGCCGGCATCGAGCAGTTCAGACCATCGACATATTCGACATGGCGCCATGCACTCCGAAATGGCGATTGGTAAGGGGTCCATTCTAAAATAAGGAAGTAATTGAATTCTTAATCCGTTTATTTAAGGAGGCAGTTTAGATACATTCCGCAATCGTCTTCTTTGATGTACACAATGATCAAAGTGGAAATTGTCTTGGTGCACAGTGTTACGGAAAGGCCTTGTCTTTTAGAATTGTTAAAGTAATAAACACAAACCATAAATAGATATAAATATAAATATAGAAGGATCAATGAGTCCCATCTCGGACTTACCATTATCGAACTGTTTGATGTCGGTTGAATCCCAGCCAAAGACCATGATGCTTAATGTGAAACAGTGTCAGAAGAACAATTTGGCAAATTTACATATAATTTATCCAAAAAAAATAGGCATATAGGCAAATAGGCATCAACACAAATAGGTAGAAAAAAGTCAGTTTTTTGATTGATTAAACAGGAAACGCCTGATCGGAAAATTTTTGGAGTTGCTCACATAAAAATTGTTTGTTGGTTGGATTAACAAACTTTTGCACTAAAATTTGCTGAAAAATTATGATATTTTGTTTTTGCGTTTTGTACTGTATGGACAATTTAATTAACTACAAAATTTGTTACTTGTTTAAATTGCAACGTATTTTCTTTTCAAAGTTAACGCAGTACAAAATACAATTATCCGTTACTCGTAGAGTAAAAGGGTATATTGTATTCGTGCAAAAGTATGTAACAGCTAGAAGGAAGCGTTTCCGACCCTATAAAGTATATATATTCTTGATCAGGGTGACTAGCCGAGTCGATATAGCCATGTCCGTCTGTCTGTCTGTCCGTATGAACGCTGAGATCTCGGAAACTATAAAAGCTAGAAGATTGGCATTTTGCATGCAGATTCTAGGAGTTTTTTTTTTTTCGCGCGGAGTCCCACGGCCCACTTACCCGCCCAACCGACCGAGGGGCGCAGCCGTGTATCGTACGGCACGATTCGCGATAGGATAGACGCGAGATAGGAAAATAAAGGTAAAGGTCCGGGGAAAAAAGTAATAGTTAGATCAATCTTGTGCCAATGAAGCAAGTATTAATCGTTTTAGGAGCGGCAGAGAGTCAAGATTTGATATTACAGGAAAAAGTCTATTATAGTCAGAACATAATACTCTGAAAGGCTCATGCAAGGCATAGTTAGATCTACAATGATTTAAAATTAGGGGAATATAATTTCTAGTTAATCTACTTGGCACCTACGCAAGTTTGTTTCAAAATGGTGCCACGCCCCCTTTAACGCCCACAATCGCTTATATACGATTTTAAAAATTTAAATATTTCGGAAAAGTAAAAATGCAGTTTTATTGTGTTTATCAATACCTATCGAAATGTAGAAGAAATTTTTCAAATCGGACCATTCGTTAAAAAGTTATGCGTGATCAAAGTTTCTATCTCCATCTCCCTCGCACTCCCTTTACCTGAGTAACGGGTATCTGATAGTCGGAGCACCCGACTATAGCGTTCTCTCTTGTTATGGTTACTTTTAAACATGGTAAGCGAAACAAATAAATACATTTAAAAATAATGATATGTAAAAGTAATCGATATTTTTGAGAAAAAGTAAAAATTTTTGTGGTAAATTTAGCACTAGAAAATTGAACAAAGAAATACTCGTACCTTACTTTACCATAAGCTTGCAAAAACGTGGATTGATTCAAGTTATAACCATATGGCAGCTTTATGTGTTCCAGAAATATCCTCCAAATTTGTAACGAAGGTGCATACAAATAAGGATATAATTAAGGTGGAATGATTTTATTATCACTCGGATATATATACTTTGCCAAACTTGTTGTCGTTAAAAACAATAAGTTGATTCATTAACTTAAAAAAGCTCCTCCCACAAGCCAAGTCCCATTAAAAATATTTGCCATCCACAAATTCTTTGTTAAATCTCATATATATTAATCATATAAATACATTATTGAATTTTTTTGGTTTGGGTTTGGTTTTTGTTTCTCCCTTCGCTCCGCTCCGTTTATCTTTTCATTTCATCTCATCTATTTGCATTTGTCTTTTGGTTTTCAACCGAAGGTCGTGAAAGAGTCTACTTTAATAATAATAATAATAAAAAAAAAGTATTATTACAATAACAGCATAACGTATAACGTAACTCAACTATCAAGGTAGATAGAATAGAACAGAAAATACATATTAATTAATTAAACGACTGCACTCAGCTCAGGGTTGATTCCAGCCAGCTGCCGGAAACTGAATTGGAAAACGGAACCAGCTCTTGATGACCGGTATCGCTCCACCTCCACTCATCCACTGATCCACAGATCCACTGATCCACTGATTTACTGATTCCTCCATTCATGTTCATCCAAAATCGCACATCGCACATCGTCCATCCATCCATCCACACGTCGTGCTCCCACTCCACATCGCACATCGCACATCTGTCGGATGCGGATCCATCTCATGATCGGCCGCAGGTGGGCAGGTTGACGCGGAAGAACACATTGAGTTCGATGAGGGAGGCGAAGACCATGAAGACCAGATACATCACCAGGCAGGCGGTGCCCACCTTCTTGTCCAGCTTGAACTTGTTCGTGGAGAAGGTCAGGTAGAGCAGGAACAGCGTCGACAGCAGGGTGATCGCCGAGTACTCCAGTCCGGCCGAGTTGATGGCCACGTAGTTCTGGCCGGGCTGGATCGGGAAGAAGACGGCCTTGATCAGCCAGGGCACGCCCAGGCACAGCAGGATGTCGAAGGTGTTCGACCCGATCGAGTTGCAGATCCCCATCGATCCGTGACCTAGGACACAGATTCAGATTCAGATTCAGATACTTCGATGTCTCCGGTCGACCAAATTTACTCACCGCGCTTCGCCACAATCACACTGGACACCGCTTCGGGAACACTGGTTCCAGCCGCCAGGAACGTAATCCCCATCACCGAGTCGGGAATCTTGAGGGTGTCACCTGCGGAGGAGGAGATACTATCATAAGGATGAACTACAGAAATTATTCTGATCCTGGAAAGTACAATCCTATCTTTTCAGTTGGGAATTATAATCTCTGAGTTAGGATAAACAAAATAAGATATACCCTTAGTTACAACTTTCTTAGTAACTTTTACCATTACAGAATATGAGTAATAACAACTCAATATATTTAACCATAACAGGTAAATTTAAGTACTTGTTAAATTAGAAAATATAACTTTGGGTGTTGAAATTCAAAGCTTAAGTTGTCCGATTTTTAATAAACAGGAAAAGTTTATAAATGAGTTAAAGTTCTATAATATGAACTTTTGAAAATTGTTGGATTTAATAGTTGAAACCTACTAATGCAATAGACTTTCAACTCCAGATCAGATAAGGACAAAGAATATTTGCTGAATGTTCTGCATGTCTCACCAATAATGGTTATCATCCACGCAACCACATAGGACAGCGATCCGATCCAGACGATGCACATGATGAAAGTCAGCGGGAAGATCTTGTTGTTCTTGGCCTTCTTGCAGTCGGGAATGGCGATGCGGAAGAGCAGGTGGATGGGCCAGATGATGAGCCAGGTGAACTGGGCGAAGCAGCTCTTGTCCTTCGGGTAGGTGAGCAGGGAGTAGCCCTCCTCCTCGCGATCCTCGCCAGCGGCAGCCCCACCAGGTTGGGCCTCTGCCTCGCCACCGTCCAGTGGCGCCATCTGGGCAATGGCACCTGCTCCCGGAGGGACACCACCTGCTCCTCCCGCCGCCTCCTCCTCCTCCTGCTCCGGCTCCAGCACTGGTGGTGCTTATGGTCGAGGTGGTGATCGAAGTGGTGGTGGTTCCGCCACCGGTGGTGCCTGTGGCCTTGGCCTGGTCATTGTTGAGTCCTCCGTTCAGCTGGATGTTGGCCATGTTCTGGCAAATGCGATTCTCGACGAGCTCTGCGAGAGTGGGTTGCGAAAGGTCATTATCACAAAGGGGAAATATCATCTAAGACAGCTATTTATTTGGTTTACAAAGCGGGTCAGAGGTCAGGGGTCATAGGTCATAGGTCATAGGTCATAGGTCTGTGGGTGTTGTTGTGGAGGTGGAAATGCAAATGCAAATGCTGGTCTCTTGTGTACCTGGTTCCTTCTCATTGCTGTTCTTTGTGTGTATGCTGCAGTTGGAGGACCGGCTGCGCGAACGCGCCTGTTTAACGCCACCTGTGTAGTATTGTGAGAGTAATGTATAGCGTACTTGTATATAGGATGTGTACCTGGATTTAAGGTTTCAGTAATAATAGCAATATTTGGTATAACATTAAAAATAACCTACAAAGTATTGTGAGTTTCTCAGAAAACACTAGCTGCTCAAAATCACTTATGAATGTGTCTAAAAGTATTAATTAAAAATCAAAGGACGTTCGGACTCAAAATATAGTGTTGCATACTTTTGGACACCGTTAAAAGTGATTTAAAAATACCAATATATGATATTTACTCACGCAAAACCTTTTAGTAATGACCTAAATAGTTAGTTATAAATATTCACCTTGACATAAAGCCTTGAATAAAAAAGTTAATATTGAGTATTTCTCTTTACCTTAACAAATATAAGATTATCTAGCTTCGATTGCTAGTGCTTACAAAAAGTTAATTCTTTTTTCTTAGGTCATTAGTTATTATTATAAAATGATCAATCAATGTACATTTAAGTCCCTACGATTTCAATTAAAATATATGTTATTTAAGAATAAATAAAATACAAAATATAGAACTTCAAAAGAACAAAAATGTGTTTTTAATGAAATACCAATTAAGTATTAAATTTTTTAGATTAAGTACATAATAATACTTGAGCAATTATTAGTTGTAATAATTTACAGTTAATACAATGTTTAAAACTTGCTTTCATTTTTCACCTAAATGTGATCAAAATGATAATAGTCATCCTGTGTAAAAAAGGTTACTTAAAACAAGTAAAAACAAAATTACTATAGTTTGTTCAAGCCAATATAAGAGTTGCATGTAAATAATGTATGCTCTATGCCAAAAAAATATTAGAAAGTCTTTTGATAAAGTAGGGATTTCACTAACCTTTGGCGCACTTCTGGAAGGTCTTGTCGAAATACATGACTGCCAGGTAAACGGCGTACAGGGAGACCAGGATGAGGGCCTCGTACCACTCGACTCGCTCGTCGTGCATCACGCAGATGAGGATGGCCACCGTGACTCCGTAGGCGATGCTGTCCCGCGTCAGTGGCCACCAGTCCAGGGGTATGGTCTGCAGGAGGGGAGTAGCGCAGGAGGGGATTAAAGATATTGGGGGTAAAGGGATCTAGAACTAGGACTTGCCATGCCAGCTCCGATGCCGCAACAAGCTGCCACCGCCAGGATGTTGAACACCGCCGATCCGACAATCGTGCCCACCCGATGTCGCCCTCCGTGATGAAGGTGCCTATCACGTTGACGAAGAGCTCCGGGGCGGAGGTGGCCGCGGCCATGAACGTGGCCCCCGCGACATCATTGGACATGTTGAGTGCTGATTAATTATTAAAAAAAAAATATATAAGTATTGGAACATTTTTCGGGGTGATTCGGATTGTGAAAGTACTCATCAAAACTAGTAAAGACCCATTTGGTACTTGCTAGGATAAGACGATTGCAAATTTGTTTATATGGATGTATGAGCAGGTAGATACAAAATGCAAAATATTCACTTTGAATAAAGTGTACCAAGTGTGGTAAAGTCATTAAAAAATATAAAACAATATACTTTATATTAAGGCTTGGCATAGGGTAATTTTATTTTATATTTTTGACTTTGCAATTTGTTATTCTCTGTTCTAAAAAAGATTCTTACATTATACTTCTTTATTTCCATAGATACAATGTTAAGACCTGACCGTTAAATTTTGATCGCCATAGGATCTATTTTACTTTAAATTTTTATTTAGCTATAAAATCCAAACCTAGCTTAATATTAAAAAACCCAAATGGGTTTTTGACTGAATTCAAAGAGTTCTTTCAAAATCCGAAGTAAGAATCGCGGTTACGTTTTCTGTGTTTTAATGCAAAAAATCCAAAATAAATCCCCGCCAACTTACCTGCACATATTTTCTCAACTGCTGGCACAAAGTACTCATCACACACTACGGCTAAGGCTACGAATAAATATAAACTGGCTATAACATGAAGTACAACAGCACCGGACTGTCTTTGCGCCTCCGAGAACAAGTCTCTGGGAAAGTCATCGATGGCGGGCTGAGTGCAATTTATATCTGCAAGAAATGGCACAATTGGAGGTGAGTTACTGTGACACTTCGTCATTTTTAAGGATATTATATTTCACTACTATTCACTACAGAACTAACTTACATAAAAGTATAATAAAATTGAGAGTGTATATATAATAAAGTGAGTTAGAAAAACTACAATATCGTATACAAAAGTGTGTGACTTGAATCAGGTAAAAATTTAGTAATCGTGTTCCAATAATATATATTTATTTATTATTCATTTTTTTCATGATAAGATAGACACATTAAAATACAAATTTCAAAATTCACGAATCTTAATTTGAGCAAGATTTATTTTGAATACAAATAATATCATAATTTGCGCATTTTTGTCCCAATTATCATAAAATCCTTAAATAGAATTTTTTCATAAGATGGCCTTAATCCTGCGATCAAATTATTAGGTTTCAGGTTTTATGTCTTTAAGCTTATATTCACTGATAACGTTCTATATGTTTAAATTATTTTATCTATTTAACTTATCAAGGAAAATTCAAGAAACATTCTTTTCAAAATATACGGTGTTTACTAAAAAGTCCTTAAATGTTTTGTAAGCGAAAGTTATATAGTGAAATAATTTTTATTTTTATTATTTCATAACTGAAAATTTAAGTGATTTTAGATCTGAATGTTTAATATTTTAAATCTTCGTCACTGATTCCTGATCACAATATTTTTCTTAGTTTTTCTTTGGTCTATATTAAATGCTGGATATGCAAATCACTTTTTTACGCACATTTCATTCTGCAACTGGCACAATGTCACACTTCACCCAACAAAAAACAACGAATCCCAATCGATCGGGGGAACTAAGGTCTCCGAATCGCCGAATTTTCCCGAGAGACCGCTTTTCTATTTATTTTTTCTTTTTTGTGTGTCACAAGTCGGAGTCTCAAGCGTCGGTAATGAACTAAACCAGCAGTGCTGCAAGAAAGACCACAAGACTGGCAGCCCAGGAATCGAAACTCAAAACAGAAGCCGAAATGGAAACTGCACGAGATACAGATACAATTACACGATACACCCATACAGATGCAGCAACAGCAGCGGCCACAGATACAGATACATCTGGTGGAGGAGCCGAAACAGAAACAGCAACCGAATTAGAACCGAAACAGAAACAGAAGCTGAAGCTGAAGCCGAAGCCGAAGCCTCGCTTTCTTATTATCGTATCTCATAGATGTACTTGTACTTGTACTTGGTCATCGATCAAATATGCGATGGACCTCCGATCCAGCTAACGATCGGCAGCGGAAGCGATAAATACGCCTTTGATGTCATCAAATTGAATTGCAAAACAACAAAACTGAATCCCCCTCGAACTGAAATTGAAACCGAAAACTGTGCCGAGTGCTAAAAACAGACCCACTCGCAAAAAGTTTGAAACAGTTCTACACGGCAAAAATTGATTCAATATCACTTTTAAATATTTAAAATACAATTTAATAACAGCCCTGCTAAAGGAAATCTTTCCTACCCTATAAAGTATATTTTTAATCATGTCCCTTTTTTATGCAGTTTGTTATTTTTTGATTTCGTTGTTAAAAGATGTAACCACTAAAGTTGCAATAGAAACAATGTGAACGATCAAATGTGATTCTGCTCAAATCAATATTATTCCTTAAGTATATATGTATTTTTATAAAACTAGGATGTTTTTAACTGTTTTAGAAACTGTCCAAATTCATATATTAACAAGAGGATTAGATTTAAGCTGCAAGGATATATAAATTTCCTTTATTCTTGTTTGAATTATTAATAAAAATAAATAAAATGTTAGATATTAAAATAAATCATTTTTGAAAATAAAAATATATATTTTACGCACCTAATACAACAATGAAACCTTAAATATCATTTATTTTAAAATTGGTAATAAAACCCTATGAAATTAAATGTGTAATACTTTTGGCATTACAATATATATACAAATAAAAGGTGTTTTTTTTTGGGGTATAGAACTTTAAATTTCAATAAAACAACGATGGATTATTCGATTGACATGGATTTTTTTTTATTCGAAAGATAAACTAATTTTGTTCCGTGCAGAGCACCTGAGTCGGGACCCCGTGCCGAGAACAAGAAGCGATGGACCGACTTGAGGCCGCAAATTGAAACAATAAGTGCTGACCAAACCCAACGGCTAAAGCCCGCCACAATAACACCCATAATAGCGATCGATTGAGCGGCATAAGTTGATAGAGACATAGACATAGACATAGACATAGACATAGATATAGATATAGACTCGGCACAGACAGATCGGGGCAGATACGAACATAGAAACTGCGATGACCATAGGTCAATAACACAGTGCAGCAGGGAAAATGTGCCCTCATGTTTGACTTTGGATTCTGCAAGTGCTTAATTCGGTTCTTACGGCTTCGGATTTTATAGTGACTTGAAGTAAAATTTTATTAAAATCGCTTTCGGTCTGTAGGATCATTATAGTTATCGACAATCGAAAAGAAATGCAAAGCAAACCTTTGTTGGATCTAAAAAGTTAACTCAAGAATGTACAAAATATTTAATATCTTGAATATTTAATATTCAATTTACTGATTAATTTTGGCCCTCATTTCTGGGTCTTTCCCTTAAGATATGTCTAAAACCCTAAAAATGTTACTCAGTGTAATTAGATAGCCAAAGCCAGTAATCAGTCAAGCATTTGAAACGCCATTGTACCATCTGACCCAATCAAACGAATTGTGTTTTGTATCTGTCAATCGAAATCATCGGATTCTGTGTTTTTCGCCTGTCGATTAACAGGGGATTAGCGATTGGCACTAGAAATGATTGCTCGTAAAAACCAATAATTAAAGCGATAACTGAAATTTCAATATTTAAATTGAATGTTTGTTATTCAAGGTAAGGGTAATATTTTTTTTTAATATTTGGTAATATATAAAGCAACTTTTAATCACAAAATGTAAGACATAAAAACTAAAATTCCGAGCAAGCTGGCTTTACCGAAATTATTTCCCATTCCTAAATACCCATTACCGATTTTACACTTTTCAAGGCTGTTAAAATTCGGTTACAGATCTTAGAACCTCTATATACATATTACTATGGCAAAACTTCGCCGTAATATAGCTTATTTATGTGCGATGGATCCCAGTGTGAAGTCGGAGTTGGGCGCGAAGATATAGATATGGGTTTAATATGTCGAGGAATGAAGTCGCAGATGCAGACGAAGATTGAGAGATACAGAAAAGAAAGTCGGAGTCCGGGGTCAATTGAGACAAACGCATTTTGTAACTGTCAGCCCGCATAATACAATGATGCTTAATAAACATTTACAGCGCTCCGTAGTTAGAGTGAATGCAATGGCGAGAGGGTGCGAGCAGGACGGAGAGAGAGAGGAGTGTTAATGATAATCAATTTAACGTGGATAACAATCAGCAAAACATTCAATCACAGTAAATTAAGTTAACTTTAATTGAATGAGCGACGCATAAACAGTAAAACCGTATCGAATTCTTTGAATTTTGGGTAATTGAACTCTCTAGATTTGGGAAATACGATATGTGAGTTGGAACTCCGAAACGAAAAGACTATTTGCGCAGAACATAAGATTAACATTGAAATAAGTTTGTTAGTTTTGAATTACACCTTTTATAAAATGTGATTCACAGGAAGGTTTAACATATATTGTATAAGTTTAGAAATAGGAGCACCCATACTAAATTCCAAAAATACACTAATCTTCAAAATATAAAGAAATAACTCCAGATATGAAAATATGAATATTAATGATTTACATTTTTAGCTGTAATTATCCGAAAATCGTTTGTTACTTAACAATTAAAGATACAGGTTTTCTCAGCATGAAAAACTCAAAAATTTCGATCACCAAACCACAAAATCAAATGATTTTTTTTAACATGCAATTTATAAATTTTTTTCTAATTTTGATGTCAAACTGCAATAGAAAAACATTTTTTACATGCTTAGTAATTCCGTGACGTAATTTTGTAAGCTAGTTTTATCGATGATTTAATTATGTTAAATTCGAAGAAGGCAAATAATTTATAAAAATTGTTGGAAAATAAAAACATAGCTAATTTTTTTATTATTGGGCTCATTGTTAACTAGTAAAAATGTGAATTAAAAACGTTTTTATCATTAAGGAAATGTAATATTTAGAACACAGAAAATAAATATATTTTAAGATCGATTAAATTGTTTAATTAGAAAATACACTGCGAAGACTTGGCGTATTGGTTCTTTCAATATACCTTTTTTAATATGTCAAGCTTATAAAGGTGCTGTTTTTAAGGAGACAAATGTGGCGTTACTTTGATAAAAATCTAATTCTCCAGAAAACTTTTCAGAACTATGTTAAAAAACATGCCACTGTGGGCGAGAGACTGCATATTACGTATCTGCCTCGTTGTCACAATTGTTTTATAGAAAGACTTGAAGCACATCACCTCGCAGCCCACACAAATAAATCCACATAGATATACGCTAGAGATCTGTATGATCCATGTGTGGACCCATATGTAAGTTCATTTCTGAACATCAGTAAGGAAAATCAGTGTGACAATGCGTTTTAATATGACTTTTGTGTACCGTTTAAAGAAACATTTTCAGAACGAGCCCAGCTTTGTGGCTTTTGTGTGTGTATATCCCATTTTAAGTTAGTTAGTCTTACTTGGGGCTGTCTCCGTATCTTCTGGAAGCGGGTTTACCTGCACCCAAGCCAATAATTCAGGGAAAAAAGGCGAATCTAACGCTGCATTGGCTACAAAAAAGGTCAAAGATTTAATTTGTTCATTTTCGATTCATTTGGCTTAATTATTTTTGGTTTTGACAGCTTGCCCGGCATTTTGTTTTGCCTTTACGCTTGATTGCTGCTGCTCACAAAAAGGTATTCGATTACGTTTCACCCATTCAATTACACATTTGCTGCGTTTCTCAGAAAGGTTTCGCTACTTTTTATGCTGATTTGGTCATAAAAATGCAATTCAGTTTAGTGTGATATGACAGGAATTATTTTAGAAGTTTATACGTAGATTAAATACTAGTATGTTAATAGCTACTTTATAGCTTAGATTCTAAATATTTTTTGTTTAATGCGCAGATAAAAACAAGTTTTTAATAGTTTTTATCTTATAATTGTATTTAAAATAATTCTTAATAATTTAAACATTTTTATTAAATTACACTGCGGTTAAAATGCTTCTAACGATAATTATGTAATAATTACTATTAACTGTCAGAAAAAAATGTAAAAAACTAAAATGGTCCAAGCGATAAAAATAGTATAAGCTAAAAATTGCTCTTTTTTTCAGCTGATTAAAATAATCGGGATATATTCGAAATTTGAAATAAGTACTGTCTATTAATGTTATTACTGAGTTTTTCCAAGAAGTTATAAAATAAAAAGTGTGGAATTATAGAAAACAGCCAGAAATAAATTAGTTCATGGTGCTAGTACCAGTTGGGAATTTTAAAGGCTCAAGTGGAATAAAAACCAAAAACAAAGGAAGATCTACAGTTAGTTACAGTAACCGTTACTTTACAGTAAGTTACCGTGAGGAAAACAACAAGTAAAAAAAATGATAGGTAAAATATTACTGATGTGGTTATTTTAACCGTCAATACAGTACAAAATGTAAATTAAAATACCACGCATCATCATTTAACAGCAAAAGTTAATTGATTTACCCAATAAAAATTGTCGCGAACATAATTTTAATTAAATAAATTGTTTAAATCTGAATTATTAGAAAGCACCTATGTGCGTAAGGAAATGCAATAATTACCACATTTTTTATATTTGTTACAGTGGTATTATTTACATGTTTTTACACATTGCCAAATTTCACTAACCATGTACATATCTAAAAAAACATTGAACTTATAATTGCTTTATAATTTTAATTTAGATGACTATCAAGGACGATCTAGGTATAACAAAAGATACAATTTGCTGTTTTGTTGTAAATACAAAAAGTAAATTTTGGATGGTAAAAGCAAACTTGAAAATATACTTTTATTTTTTATTTAATTTTTTTATAAAACTACATTACCGACTATAGAAAATTGTAACCACCTCAATTTAAAAAATACAAAACTTTAACTTCAAATTTGAAATTAAGGTATTTAAGCACTTTTTAAAATGATAAACATTTTTTACGCAGTTTCCTCACGAGGCTAAACAAAGGCTAAAATAAAAAAACAATTAAAACTTTTTAAATAAAGCAACTTGTTTACCTTAATATTGCTTTACTAATAGAACATATTTTTTTAAATTAAAAACAATTAAAATACAAGTTTTATAAAATTTTAAGTTTTTGCTTCAACTAGGAGAAGTGATCGTTGGTTTGGTCTAAAGGGATTCACTGAATCCATAACAATTAAACGAAAATACAACAGAAATTTGCTGAGATAGACAGTTAGTATTGCTCATGTTGTTAAGCCGGCTATCACAGTGGGACAACAATTATTGAACGCAAATGTAATGTTCAAAAAAATATAAGAGTTCTTGGAATAAATTATAATTAACTTTAAAAAACAATCGATTAATAGATCAGTTATAAAAGATAAAATGCTAAAAAGTATAAATAACAATGGAAAAGTGTATCTTGCTGCCCAATTTTGTTTTAAACATTTTTTTTTTTTTAAGAAAGTCAAAAATAAATATAATTATATTTACATTGATTAATTTATCATCTATGTACAAAATTTAAGCTTCGTATAAATATTTTTGTTTTGTGCTAAGCCAACATTGCGTATACGCCCTATTGTGCATGCAACTTCTTCTTAATACATTCAACATTGCGCATACGCCACATAGCACGTTATCTATGTAAGGAAAAGAAATCGAATAAAAACCGAAACCAACTTAGGAATACACTAAAAATAAAACTTAAAGGAAAGAAATGCAAAAAAAAAAACGAAAAACAAGCGGGCAAGGCACAGTTTTGGTTGTCACTGTGCATAGTAAATGTCATTAAGATTCACTTAATGAGCCAATTTAGACAATTGATCCATATGCCTTAGTTTACGCGCACACACAAATAGACACACACACACATGCACTCGCGGGGGCATAAAGAGATCCGCACACATATACACCCACACCAGGCCTATACATATGTATATGTATACATATATATACTGATATATACATATATGTATGCGTGAAATCGTGCAGAAAAAAGCGTTTTTATCGGCTTAGCTTGTGCATGTATGGCGGTGGGCGGAGGGGGAGGGGGTCCTATGACGTCATTGCACGCACACACACAGTTAATTGCATTGCATTAAAATTATTCCATTTCATTCGAAGCTTAATTGATTTATTAAATTTGTTTCTCTCTTTTTTGTCGCCGCCACTGGCGCCGCCACACAAAACATCAAAAACAACAGAAAAAAAAATTTGCATAATCTACGATGGCTGTTTTTTTTTTGGCTTGTTAATTAGTTAAGAGGACACTTGTGGGGGTTAAATTATAAACTTATCTGTAGTTCTCGATCTTTTGTTTTTCCTCTCGTTTAGTTTCGTTTATAGTGGTTTTATGTGTTTTCATTTTCAGTTTTTTCTCTTGGGTTAATTAGTTAAGAGGACACACAGATTTGGGGGTGGATGGAGAGGCTGAACTCGGTTTAGGAACTTAGTCTAAGCGTAGTCTGCAGGTAAGCTTAGTTAGTGATTATGTACCCGTAGTGCTGCTAAGACCCCAATAGTCTTCCATTGCTGCACGGTGTTGTAGTGGTGATGGACACTCGTAAACTGCGATGCGCCGTTGTATGAAGCGCAATCTCAATCGCAATCCCAATCCCAATCCAAATCCCGAGCAATCCCCAATCCCCACTTCAATGGTGTTGATTTTCTCTTTTCCTTCCTTCGCCGTGTGTGCCTTTCTTTCTTTTCTCTGATTTATTCTCTTTTCTCCTTTGGCTCTATTCCTCTGTTCAGCTCGGGTTCGTCTTAAGTGAGACGGCGAGAGTTGTCTCAATTTGCGCTAAAGATTCAGATCCAGATCCACAATGGCACGTAGAGTCGATCCCGGGTGGTGGGTTGGTGGGTGGAATTGTGGGTGGTGGATGCTGTATGGTGGATGCTCGATGGCGGATTTCGGATTTCGGAACGGAGGCAATTGAGGCACACACACACACACACGGACGGACACCTCACACACACTCGCACACGTTCACACCTCGGGAAGACGCTTCTGCATCTCGTTCCGTTTCAAAATCGGGAGATCTGTGGATGGCGATATATTGTTCAAAGCAGCGATGCTAAACTAAAACCTAACTGGATGACTTTTGCAAGTTTTCTAAATTAGAGCAACGATTAAAGGAAGGGAAGAGGCAATAATATCGATAAATAGCTAATCAATTGTTTTTACTTTTTTAATTTATTTTCCATTTTTTTACAGCAATGGTTTTTGAATAGGAAACTTCAAAATAACAGCAATCTATTACCCTTAAATTTTCCAGATTAATTTCGAATGATAGTAGTAAAGAAGAGAAGTAACAATCATGGAAAAATCGAAGGAACTAAATGTAAAAAAAATAATAAGTATTGATAAAAGTTTTATTGTTTTAATTAATTGTTTTAGCGTGTATAACAAAAGTTAGTTCTAAGTTGAACAATTTAATAGAAATTTATACAATCAAAATCGAAGCATTAGTTACTAAAAAATTAAAAAGAATAAACAAATTAAAATCTCTGTTAAGCATTAATATATCTCTGATTTAAAAAATCAATTAATGTCTATCAATAGTTTTTTAGTCCGTTTTCTCTGTGACAGAATCGTCTCACCTCTGCTTATGAAATCTTATTTTGAAATCCTCAATAAGCTGCTGGAAGCCAATTGCTCTATTATGATACTTTCCAGCACCTTCGCAAAGCTAACCAATTAGATATCACCAGATTTTGACATATGTATATCCCGGCGCGTTCACTTGCCGGCAATTTAAATAAAATTAATAATTAATCCAAAAACCAAGCATTAAAAATTAAGTTCAAACGAGGCTCGACGTTCGATGCAACATGTTTGATTCTCTTCCCGGATAATCGATGCTCTAAAATGAACCGCGCAAAAGGGAAATGTTGTGGAATGGAATGAAATGGAACAGGAAACAGTCGAACTCGCTTAACTCAAAGATTGTTTCTAGTATCAATATAGTGAATATGTATTTGAAATAGAGGTATACTCCGATATATTATGTGTAATTGGGTCCTTTAATTGGGATAGAAGTTCGACTGTAAGCTGTCTCTATCTATATAGTTTGTGGACCTTGCTCTTGACACTCTCACTTAAAGGTTATGGCACAACAACAAAAACACAAAGGCAGCAGATCCCGTTACGCAGCGTTTCTTGATGCTTTGTCCCGGTTTGTTCCGTTTCGTTTTGCTTCGTTCCGCGCTCACTCGCGTCTTTAAACTCGCTAACATTAATCTCGATCTTTTCGTTATCGTTTCCGTTCTCGTTCCTTGAATCTGATCGCCGTCGAAAATTGTGCGATTAGTATTCCCTTTTCTGGTTCTCCGCCTCTAAATTTTAGTCTTTTCTTTTCTGTTTTTTTTCTTCAATTTTTTGATATGGCTTGGCTTGTGTTGTTGTGTGTATATTGTCTTGATGCCGCCGACGTTGACGTTAAACTGATTCTGAATCGGTGCTTGGAGCGCTTTAGTCCAAACCGAGCTCACTATTTTTTTTTATTTTTTTTATGTTTTTTCGCCGAGCTTGATTTGGTTGTGGATCCGAGCGTGTGTGCGCCTATATACGTACTATGTGTGCAACTATAATACAGTTTAACTGACTATAGACTAATACCAGCGGTTATTCAAAGGCGGATTGCTGGCTGCGTGTTTGTATTTTATTTTTCCCGAGATCGTATGTGCTGCTTGTTTGTGGGGTGCATTGTTCGTCAATGTTTCAGTTTTCAGTTTTCCCTTTTTGTTTATTTGCCTATTTGTTTATTTGCATTTTGTCAATTTTATTTCGGCCAGAGTGGGCATTGGCGATCGGCAAAGGTCAAGTCATGGTAGAGCGATCAACTAATTAGAGCTAAGCGCAGACTCGTGCCATCGCTTTGGGGCTTGGCACCTGGCCTATATCTACATTCTTCAGCCAGAATTGCCAGGTCCTACACCGAAAAAAATTAATTATCCTATATAAGACCGAAGGAAACCCAGTTTTCCTTCTTATAATTTAATGGTTCCTGATTGTAAATGCCATATCATCATATTATATAAAAAAGGAAGCAATACATTTGAATATCAAAGAAATTAAAAACTTGGAGCAACAAAATCCACCTTAGCTGCAATATTCAATTAACTGATAAGCTCAATACGCGAATAAAAGAAAGCTTGTCTAAAGATGTCAACGGACATTTCTTATTTGATTTACGGCTTCAAATAAAAAATAATCAATGGCCTAAAACTTTGCTGCTATATTTTTTGCTTTTGCTCGTTAATCCCATTTCTTTCTGTGTAACACCTCCACCTAACCAAATAGAGCTTGCTCATCGCCATATTCGGCTTATCTGAAGACCTGTCGGATACTTCCGTCACTCTGTCCATGAGAAGGGTTCTCCAAATAATGTACTACCTTTCGGTATTTGTTTAAAGCATATTCCCAGCTTACGTGACAACCGTCTATGTTTGCCATCGCGGTGAGATATATCCCAGATATGAATGGATCTTCCCGAATATCAGCCGGCAAACGCAAATAAATAGGTTGTGTAGTGGAGGGGGGAGGGCATCATCATCTAACTAAACAGCCACTAATTGGACAAGAGCGTTTTTAATTAAGCGTCCATCTATTAAAATAGACAGTAGATCAGACGATTACCAAAGCACTAAATAGGATGATATGGACACACAGGGACAGTGCGATTCAGAATTATAACTATAAAATACACACAGAGAAAACTAGAAAAATAGTAAGGTACATTAAAACGGACTCTGAATATTTTTAATAGAAAAACGTTAAATATTTTTTGTTTACCTTTACTTTTTAAAAGTACTTAACGTGGAATTAATTAATTCGTTCTGTGTGTGAAAAATCCAAGGAATATTTCATAAAAACACTACTGAAAACAGCCATTATGTATTCATTAACTAACATTTTGTTCCTGCGGAACAAATTTTTACGGTTGCATTTTTATCGAATAAGGACTATTTATTTTAAAATAAATTACTTGATTAAAAAATATTAAAACCTATTTCGTGAAAGCCTTATCTCTTTTCCATTTCAGCTTATTATCACTTAGGACGGCCACGTAGTGACAACAACCACAACAGAATTTCGTAAAAATTACTCATACGACCCGTATACAGTACGTATGAGTGATACACTTTGAATCCAATGAATCCAATTTTTTAAATTTCTTCTGGTATGCCCTAAATGCAGGACCTTTCAATTTTCATACATATTTGGACCGCCCTAATTGACATATTTAGATACAGCCCCCAAAAATCGTACAATCTAAAAAAGTCAAAAGTCCTTTAGTCCTTACACAAATATATTTAAAAACTATACAAAATAACAACGCAGTGAAAGCCTTATGATTAACAACCGACAGCAATTTAATTGAATAGAGAAACAGATCTTCGACTCACTGATTAACTTCGCTCTACAAATGCGAAACGCACTGTAAGTGTGCTTATACGGATAGATTTTAAATTGAACACGCGTAGCAGTCACGGCAAATGGCGATCGCGAGTGAAGATAATTGGGCGTGCGTTCCATAAAACGTTGCTGGGCTTTTGTCGTCGCCTTTCAAACGTGGCCGTGAAAATAAAACCAAAAAAGGCATCGAAAAAAACCACCCAATGGCAGTGAAAAACCATACACTTGGAGTTTTTTGGTCTACGTCCTTTGTTAGGACTTGTTTGTATTTTGTATATAAGGTATCAACAGAATTGATTTAGGGTTCATCATTTGTTACTTGATAACTTTAACAATTAAAACTAGGAATTTCTCTTCGTTACACCTTCTTTCTCTCTCGCTCCGCCGCTTGCAAATGCCGGCTATGTACACAGAAATCACAAACACAAGTTAGTTAGTTTAAAAGGTAAAGGGAAACCTAACAAAGATACATGTGGAGACAAAAAAACATTGGACTAAGCGAAGGCGAAAGAACAGCAGTAGCCTATAGAAGGTATCTAACTGAATCTGAATTAGTTGGGCATGCCCACGCCCTGCTGGAAGCCCAGCGTCTCCTGTTGCTTTTTCACCTCGTCCTGCATCTCGAGGGCCAGCTTCTTGTACTTTTCGGCCTCCTTCTCGTTTTTCTCGATCCCATCGCCCCGGGCGTACATCTGACTGAGATTGGCGCACGCGTACATGTTGCGGAGCTCGCACGCCTTGTGGGCAAACTGGAACGCCTTCTTCATGTCTTTCAGCACAACGTAGTCGGAATCTTTCAGCGGCGTCTTTCCGGCGGGCGGTGCTGCAGGCCCACTTCCGGCGGACGCAGTCGCCGCGCTCTGGTCCGGCTTTTTTTGCACGCCCGAGATGTGCATGCCGGAGAGGTAGAAGCAGGCGGTGGCGTTGTTCATATCGCAGCTCTTGGTCAGGAACTCCAGGCCCTGTGGGATAATACAAAAATTAATATGTAATTCACCAAAATATTCGATACAATGGCGCAAACTAGTTCTCCTTCTGTTTCACAATTAACAAATAACTTTTGCGAAAATAAAAGAAGCCGTTTTTGGTTTGAAATAGGAACTAGAACAAGTTCTTAACCGTGTTGCACATACAAATTACAAACGTTGGACCTTTTGTAAGGACTTATATTAAAAACTTTTAGTCAGTACTTATCGCTCTTTAAAAAAAAAAAAATGTGATGAAACTAATAATTTTAATTTTTAATACAATATCAACTTGTTGCCAACTATTAAATGTACTATTTATGTTTTGCTTATAATATTTTAATTTATATATGCAGCTTAAATAAAGCTGTTGCTTGTTAACGTTAGTGGCTATTTGATCATGATTTCTTCATAGTTTACAATTGGTTAAAAACTTTTCGTTACATCACTTTACCAAAAATGGTAGTGAAGTGTAGTCGCTAATCAAATTGCCCAATCATTCATAATTATTTCTGTATTTTAGTACATAGGTTGCTCTTCATTTAAGTACCTTGTGATACACAACATTTTTTGTTTTATTATCAGACGCAAAAACAAACAACGCAGATGGTTCCGACCCGTGAACATGCCACGTATAATTGACCATGGGAAAAACAGGAATGTTCTAGATTTAAACCCCAAACTTTTAAGAAATTGAAGTCTTTTAAATTCAAACGGTATCGGTATCCTCGGAATGAGAACTTCCTCATCTTTGAATTTTCCTATCATTATCGTAGCGTAAATTACATTGTTCATCAATTTTCTAACCACCAAATGCGTACCGTTGCACAGTTTTGGTTGGTTTGTGTTTCGAAGCATGATTACTACGGAGCCAACCTTTAGGCGTAAATTGTGCGGTGGTAAGCCAGGCACGTCCAAAGAGTTTAAAAATTCAATTGGATAGTTGGTGGCTTCATCTTCATTTGTGACGCAGTCAATAGATTTGAATGAATGCATTGTTTCAATGATCTTATTTTTAATTATTTAGTTTAGGTCATCTACATCTTTATTCTTAGCCGCTAAAATTTCGCTCTCACTCAACCATTCATTATTTTTGTAGTTAGAAATAATTTCTGGAAATACATTGTTGATAAGTTCGTCTTTTGATGAGACAAAATTACAGAAATTATTTTGAAATGATATTAATCCGCTCGATTTATCGACAGGTACTTGACCGATAGTCAGCAATTGCTCCGAGAAATCTTCAGCAGATGTATCATTAAGCAATGTAACTCTCATGTTTGTTGTCAGTTGCAGTTTCTTCACATGGCGCCATAGATTTGACGATTTGAGGCAAGCGTTTATTTTGTCGGCAGCCGTAGATCTTGGAATTATTGGCAGTATTTGGCGGAAATCGCCAGAAAGTAAAATCATTCCTCCTCCAAAACATCTCGAGTCATTTAATCTTTTAATGTTCAGTTAAGTGCTTCTAATGGACGTTTATGCGCCATTGTGCATTCGTCCCAGATGATGATTTTCGATACCGCTAAAACTTTGGCCATTGCTGAGTGTTTTGCAATATTACACGTTGGTTCTTCAATAGTTTGAAGACTTAACGGTAATTTGAATGCTGAATGAGCCGTACGGCATCCTTCTAACAATGTGTCTACTATTCCAGAAGAAGCAACGGCAACCGCTATGTTAGATCTCGCCCGAACAGTTGCCAAAACTAATGACATGACGAATCTCTTTCCAGTTCCACCAGGGGCATCTAGGAAATATAAACCATCATTTTCATCATCGATTGCCTTCATTAAAGTATCATAAACTTCCTTTTGTTGGTAATTCAACAGGGGTACCTTCGTTTGAACTACTAAATCTAATTCCTGGTGATCATATTCACGTTCCAATTCTCGATTAAATGCGTCATTCCTTTCACGATATGGAGCTGGCATTCCTAACCTTATTAATAAATTACCGCACATGAGGTAACACATATCTTCGATCAAAACTAAAGCACGATTATTTATCTTATACGACTTATCTTATACGACTTTCTTTTATATATAAGATTGACAATAGTGTAGCTTTTAAAGTACTTATGAAAGGTGGCAACAGAAATTTGAGAACCTAAATTAATTGTTATTTAATCATGAATTGTTCATAGCTAACAATTGGCTACAAATTTTTCGTTACAGCAAATTAACAAAAAGATGACGGATGCATTTTAGTCGCTAATCGATTTTGTGCTATTTGGTTTCAGATATGGAAATTCGCCTGTATAACTACAATTTTGAGCACAGTTGTAGGTAGATTATAAAGTATTTACAATTTGCGTACCTTTAAATGTGTATACAACAGAATTCAAGATCTGTTAGTGATATCATTTAAATGGTAGCTTTAGAAGCTGGTACTTTGTGTTTGATTTATAAATAAGTTCTAAGGAGGCAGTTCATAGCTGATGTGACCCATTTATCAGTATAAAGGGTGAGCTGTACTTTTAGAACTTATTTAAAGCGTAGGGGTGTATTATCTACTGTTGGTAATGACATATTCAGGACTCGCGCCTAACTAAATTTTCCCTTCGAATTTTGTGACAGTGAAAGAAGAATGCTTCCCGTTTGGGCTATTATATCGATGGCAGTATGGGGATGCGATCACCATCCTGCAACCATTACCTTGGGCACATTCCTGTCGATCTCCTTGGGCATGGACCGGGAGACGAGCAGCAGGCCGGAGTGAAGGCAGGCGTCCGAGTCATTCAGATTGCAGCCCTTTTCGTAGTACTCGTAGGCCACCCGGGGATCGCCCTTGCTGCCGCTCTTGCCCTTGCCCAGGAAGCTGTAGTTGCCGTACTTGTAGCAGGACTTTGCGTAACCATAGTCGTCGCACGTCGACTTGTACACCTTGGAGGCCTTCTCGAAGTCCTTCTTGATGCCCTCCAGGTAGTCGCCCAGCAGGTGGCAGGCTGCAATGTAAAATCGATGTTAGTTCACCTTCTTCTCAGCCTGTATCCCACATTTTAAAACAACGCGACAACGCGATTGTTTTGTAATATTGCCGCCCCGCGAAACCTAGGTTATACATTCGATCTATGTATTGTTGTTTTTTTGTCGCTGCCTCGGCCGGCGTCGCTGTCGCCGTCGCCGCTGACTGCGCGCTCACCTTCCGGCTTCTTCTCGGAGTAGCACCCGAACCGGTACTCCACGCCCAGCTTGTCGATGTACTCCTTCACGTCCGACTCCTTCTTCAGGTCGTAGGCCATGGTCGCTGATTTTTAATAGATAACAACCGAAAATTATTCTGCTTGCTTTGGTTCGTCCTCTGCAGTGTGACCGTGGCGGAAACGATAAAAAATACTGCCCGGCCCCAAAATAAATACCAACATATACAATTTCAGTTTCAAGAAATAACGTTTACCATAATACCCAAGTCCCACAGAGCACTTCCCTGTGGTACCACCAATAACTGGAAATCGATTTATTGTACAAGAACTTTGTATTAATACTATACACAAAAACCATTAAATAGTTTTAAATATTAAAGTTTTCTCCTAGTTTAGTAATAATATTGTAGCAAATTGTATATTTTTAAGGCATACTGCTAGTATTTTCCTTACTAATTTTATTTATGTTTTATTGCAATACCTTTACCTAAGCCAATTTAATTTTTTTAATTTTCAAAAAAACTGTTTATCAACGTCTATAATTAGAAACGCTGGAGTGTGACCAGATCAGTGAGAGACCTACAACCTATCGCCTAAAATCGAATGTCATTCCAATAGTGCTGGACGACAGCCACACTGGCGGACGTGTAAAAGAATCCAAAATTTTGCATTTTTCTCTTGTTTTTTTTCCCGTGTCCCCGCTGAAAACCGATGTGCATCCGGGCAGGAGACCTAGGAATCGGGAACCCAAAATGAGCGCTCGCAGGACGAGGAGCGGTCCCACGCTGAATTTCAAGGCGGTGCTGCTGGGCGAAGGTGGGTGCCAAAATCCGGGGACTGATTAGCCCGAAAGGCCATAAACGTGCCCAATAATTGCAGGTTGTGTGGGCAAGACGTCGCTGGTGCTGCGCTACATGGAGGATCGCTTCAATGCCCAGCATCTGAGCACGCTGCAGGCCTCCTTTGTGACCCGCAAGGTGGCCCTGGAGGATGGGAGGCGGGCCCAGTTGAATATATGGGATACGGCCGGTCAGGAGCGATTCCATGCCCTGGGGCCCATCTACTATCGGGGATCCGATGGGGCCCTGCTCGTCTACGACATAACCGACCAGGACTCGTTCCAGAAAGTAAAGTCCTGGGTGCGGGAACTTCGGCAGATGCGCGGCACGGAGATTGCCCTGATAATCGTGGGCAACAAGACTGATTTGGAGGAACATCGGGCGGTGGCGTACGAGGAGGCCCTCCAATATGCCCGTACAGTGGGCGCTCAGTATGTGGAAACGTCGGCCAAGGAGAACGAGGGTGTGGCCGAGCTATTCGAGCTGCTGACCCATCTGATGCTGGAGCAGCTCAGCCAGCGGGAGCCGGATGCGAGTCCGCTGCGGCTTCAGAATCCGGATACGGATGCCCTCAGCAATTCCGAGGACTCGGAACTACCGGATCCCGGCGATCCTGCGGGCCAGCGATCCTGCTGCGGCATTTAGCCGTCCCCATTGTGATAGTAATCATAATTATTTACTAGTAGACCTGTAGCCGATGTTCATCTTATGTATATATTATATATTTACGTATAGCGCATGTGTTTCTGTTATCAAATAACCCTAAAACCAAATTAACCCCACGTATTTATGTTGATCCTAAATATTTGTTTTCCAAATTGCTCAGACATTTTGTAATGTTGTTTCTCGGCACCTAGTTTTATATACAAATTTAGCGATTGTCATTTCGAACATTCGATTTATTCCGCTCTTTACGTGCGCCAAGCAATAAATTATCTTATACTTGCACTTATCTTGTTTTCAATTCGGAGGGTCGACTGAATCAGCCTGTTTTGGCTCAAGAACTGATAACTCAGTGTTGCGGTGGGTGATTATCTGAACTCACTTTGTAATATGTGTATCGCCGGTGATGGCTGTTTTGCCAGCCTGTAATGCCAGATACTTTTTGATTGATAGTGGACATAAAAGTGTTTTTTATATAGTAATGTATTACCCTTGGGCAATTATCCACAGCTCCAGTCTATCAAATCGATGTAATCTATCCTCATCAAAATTAATATAAATTAAAAGGTAAGGGTTAATTATGAAAAGAAAAAATATATTTGTAATAATATTGTCTTTTGCTCATCGAACATTTTACAAGTGTCTAAATATTTAATTTAGGGAGCTTAATGTATATATTTTTAAATTTTTTATAACATATTCAAATATTTTTTAATATGTTGTACTCTATAAACGTTAATAGTTATAATAGCTTTGATATTTAATTCCCTAATTATTTATTTATATTGAATTTTTCTGTTTTCCGAAAACCAAATTCTTTCAATGTTTGGATTAATGGTTATTACTTGTTAAACTTTGGATTTCTATCCAGGACAAAATTAATAGCCCTTTTTAAGCAGGAGTTTGACGATATGCTAACACGAAATCCCATATTTGGTTGACCTTGTTTCTGATGTCAATTGACAGTCTAATTGAAAGCTAATCACACTCCGATGTGACGCCTAATGATGGTGCAACTTGGGTCCTTTAAGTGGGCCACCAGGCAGGTAAACACGTGAGCACGGGTCCTGCCAATCGCTGTAATTTGTGTTCATGACAAGGGCCCATTAATTTCGATTCCAGGACGTCATATCGCCCACGACCCAAGGGCCAGTGCATTACAATAATTGCCAGAGATTGCTCTGTTCCACTGCAATTACTTGGTGAAATCGGGAGGCCGGGGAACACCTGGCGGTGTTTCCACAGGTGGGAAGCCAAACACCCCGCCGTCAATTTGCGCATTTTCCACCTGCTGAGTCAGACCCTATTTGGTTTTCAGTTGTCGCCGGAGAATGAAGCAATTGGTGGATTTAGTGAGGACCTGCTTGGTCTACGGGTTCGTGGTAATCTTCAGCTTGGTCACCCGCTTCCTGAAGCGCTGTCTTGACCTCAGTCAATCGCTGGCCGTGTGAGGAGCAGGAGGAGGAGGAGGAGGAGGAGGAGCAGGTACCAGGAGGTGGGCCATAGTACCCGATATCACTAATCTGGCCCAATGTTTATGCAGCCAGGTAGGAGTGTGAGCTATGAGCTATGAGTGACTTTCCCAAACTTATCGCACCGGCAATCAATAATGGACGGTCTTATCGGCCTCGCACTTTTCGCCGGGGAAACTACGACTATTAGTACAGTGGAACCTGCCCATAGATGGCCGTATATATTGTGTACATGGTGTTTGGAAAACTTCTCCCCATTTTGTTGTGCATATTTCGTGGACTGGACCATATCAAACAAAATATCTCGTAATATTTACACGATGATCAGAATATTCAATGTCCTAAAAACTTGTATATAGTTTAATATTTACAAAAATCAGTTTTTTTTTAGAAGAAGTTTTGCACAACCTGAAAATGTCATTATAAGTTTTCTAACTTTTGTTTTAATGATTCCTTAAATGATTTTTAAATGGGAAGATTCATTTAACCAGAAATTAAAATCAAATATTTCTGTTATCCTATATTAAAATTAATTTAAACTGTATTTGTAACTACTTTCAAAAAATACAATGTTATTTACTTTGGGTGAATATTTTTATTTAGTTTACTTTTAAAATTAGGTAAATTTCTTTTAAACGTTTTTTTTATAACATAACCGATGTAAACGTTGTTTAGTCCATTTATAATAGTTATGGAAAAGAAGAGGGGGTACCCTCTAGGCAGGGTCCACTGTAGCTGCGGAGTAGTTGGCGGTTGTTATCTGGGCAGCTTGGGCACATGTCGATGGCTGTTCGATCGGGTCGGTTGGTTTGTGGGCACCGCGGCGCCCTGCTGTTGCTCCTCCTAATCTTGGCCGGCACCTTGGTGATCCTCCACCGGATCGTCCAGTCGCCGCTCCTCAATCAATACGAAATCCTGCAGGATCACTTGGAACGCCAGCAGAAGCAGAATGCCCGATCCACCCGCACCATTCTGCTGTGGAGCGAATTCTTCGGGGATCCGCGATGGAAGCTATCCTGGGACACTCTGGGACCGCAGGATCTACGGGATGATCTCCAGTGCCCAGTGTACCAGTGCGAGGTGACCAACCAGCACGACTTTCTGCCCATGGAGCTGTACGATGCCATCGTCTTCCATGCGGCGGAGATGTTCCCGCTCCTGCGACCGCTTCCCTCGCAGAGGAGTCCCCACCAGGCCTACGTCTTCGCCCTGATGGAGTCGCCCGGGGAGACCAAGCACCGACTGGACGACGAGGAGGGCTTCTACAACCTCACCATGACCTACCGCCTGGACTCGGACGTGGTCTGGCCCTACGGCCAGCTGCTGGACATCGAGACGGACGCCGTGGTGGCGCCCAGTGCGAGTCCCTATTGGAGGAAGCCCCCCGCCTCGTTTAACGACTCCGTGGTCTGGGATCTCTGGTCGGGGAAGACCAAGATGGCCGCCTGGTTCGTCTCCCACTGCGAAACGCTGTCGAAAAGGGAGATCCTGGCCGAACGACTTCAGGAATTCCTGCCAGTGGACATCTACGGAAAATGCGGAACCTTAAGGTGAGAAAATGTTTTATGTTGTTGTGAAACTAAACAATTTCTGTATAGGTTCAAATAAGTTTTCAAAAATCCTAAGCAAAATGTGTTTAGAAGATTGTTTTTATTTCAAAATATTATTTTTTTTGTTTTTTACTATTTGTTTATTTTGGTTTTTACAAATGCGTGCGGTTGTAGATTTTCTATTTTTTGATTGCTAGATTTTGTTAGATGACAGAAAGGGTAATAAATATAAAGAAGAACCTCTTAATAGCCAATGTAGACAGCCATAATGCTATTTATAAATTCCGAAACAAGCCCATGATTTAATGAATCTATTTCAGCTGCGACCGAGGGGATCCGCGCTGCGACGAGATGCTGGACACGGACTACCTCTTCTACCTGGCCTTCGAGAACTCGCTGTGCGACGACTATGTGACGGAGAAGCTCTTTGATGCCCTGCGCCGGAACATAGTACCCGTGGTCTTCGGCGGAGCGGACTACTCCCGCATCCTGCCCCCGCACTCGTACATCGATGCGAATCGCTTCGAGACGGTGCAGGAACTGGCCCAGTACCTGAACTTCGTGGCAGGTGATCCGGAGGAGTATGTGGGCTACTTCTGGTGGCGAACCCACTACCGTTTGGCCTCCACGTCGCCCTTTTGCGACCTGTGCGCCCGGCTCCATGCGCCCGGAAGTGTCCACAAAACGCAGTTCTACGGCGACATCCAGTCCTGGTGGTTCAACAGTTGTCGCCTGAAGAGCCAGATACATTTGTGATTCTTGAGTCCCACTCTCATTTAAGTCGTATTAGAAGAAATTTGTGGAGAAAATATGCCATTTAGGGTCTGTGCATTGGCTTCAAAGTTGATCACTCATACGCACTGTTGCCTTTGATCAAATAATTTATTCTAACTGACATCACAGGTCGTATAAGGAATTTGTACGGATATTTTGAGACCATTGCGCAACGCCTAAGACTTAAAATAAATTTAGAATATTAAACAGTTTTTTTTAGTGTACATGAAATCGAGAGAGAAAGTTGTTAAACACCCACAATTGGGCACGAAAGAGAGCGAGATGGAATACGAACATTTGTAGTTTTGGGCCTAAACAAACAACGTCGAGTCGTTCATTTTCATATATTTATGGGCTGAGTGCAATCAGGGGTAGATAAGATATACAGGTCTCCTATCTGATTGCGCCGAACTAGCCTCGGAATCGAAGTCTAATGGGGATATTACTCACCCGCTGAACAATTTCGATTACCATCATAATAGTTTGACAGTGGTTAGAAGCCCAAAATAGTTATGTAGCTCTATTTCTGATAAGAACACTTAGAATAAAACGCTTCTGTAACTTTACAAATGAAAGTACGATCGTACTTAATTTTTGCTGATTCTTATTTCAAGAAAACATAACTTTTAAAACCTAAAACAACCTAAAAAGATTTAATTAAGGTGGCAAACTCTAAAAGCGAAAATAAATTTCTTAAATCAAGTACGTTTGGTAATAAACTTAAGAATAAGAGATTATACAAAATTCATTTTCATAGCAAAAACAAAACAATCTTTAAAAAAAAAAAAATAAGCATACCTTTCAGAAACAGAAAATTCTTAAATCAAGGATTATGAAATGACCAGTATGAAATTTATAAGACAGCTTAGGAATTTAGGAATTGGTCAAAAATGTAGGATCAAAATACCGCGATCTCAGAAAACTCTATATCAATACCCTAAAAAGAGGAAACATATTAGAAACAAAACTCCAGGTTAACAACGAAGACAACTTCCGTTCTGTAACAAGATATCTCGACAATGAGCTTATAAATTACTATACTTACCAACTAAAAAGTAAGAAAGGCCTACAAGTTGTACTTAAAGGTATAGAATCGACTGTTGCGGTAGCAGAAATAGCTGAAGGCCTCACGGAAAATGGCTTCGACGTTAAGCACATCGTAAACATAGTGAACAGGGATAAAATTCCCCAACCACTGTTTAAGATTGAGCTGGCGCCAGAGACGAAACCTCTAAAGAAAAATGCAGTGCATCCTATTTACAATCTGCAATATCTCCTTCACCGAAGAATCACCGTAGAGGAACCGCATAAGCGGAACGGCCCCGTACAGTGTACAAACTGCCAGGAGTTCGGGCATACAAGAACCTACTGCACCCTGCGTCCAGTTTGTGTCGCCTGTGGAGATTTGCATTGCATTGAAGCATGCCTGGGAAACAAAGAAGACCCTACTCTGAGGAAATGCAGTAATTGTGGGGAAATCATACTGCCAACTACCGGGGCTGTCCCGTCTACAAAGAACTCAAGAGCCGCATAAATCAGAGACGCAGTAATCCACTCGCGGCTCAACACTCTGCCCAACCAAACATCTTCACCCCATCAACAACCACTCCTGGTGTCTCCTTTGCCAACGCACTCCGCTACCCTGGAATCTCACAAACATCTACCGCCCAACCTGCAGCATTGCGTCCACAGCCACCCATATCAAACCTAAATGATTTTCCGCTCTTAAGCCAAAATGGCCAAACAACAAGTCAACCTTCTACGCAGCAAAACCAAACTCTTCCCCCACAAACACTTAGCGGTCTAGAATCTACACTAGCTACTCTTGCAAACGTCATGATGACGATTCAAAGTTCCCTTCAAGAACTACTGCGAAACCAGAGCCTTCTAATGGAACTGCTGATCAAACAAAAGTCTGTATAAATGGACTCCTTAAGAATATGCTTCTGGAACGCAAACGGCGTTTCCCGGCACAAAAACGAACTCCTACAGTTTCTAAACAGCCACAATATCGATATCATGCTACTTTCTGAAACCCATCTAACTAATAAAAACTACTTCCATATCATCGGATATATATTCCACGCGACCAACCACCCGGACGGTAAAGCACACGGAGGTACCGGTATACTCATTAAACAACGCATAAAACATCATCCCTTGGAGACATTCGCTACTAACTACCTACAGGCCACATCCCTACGTATAAACCTAATTGGCGGCCCACTTACCCTATCCGCCATATATTGCCCCCCACGCTTCAGTATTGCAGAAAATGAGTTTATGAATTTCTTCAACTCACTAGGACGCTGCTTTATAGCTGCCGGTGATTATAACGCAAAGCATCCCCACTGGGGATCTCGTCTTATCAACCCCAAAGGCCGCCAATTATACAACGCTATTATCACTCCTGGTAATGCGCTTGACTTTGTCTCACCAGCTAGGCCTACATACTGGCCCACAGATCCAAATAAACAACCTGACATTATCGATTTCGCTGTTATTAGAAGAGTCTCGCACAGGTTGATAAACATAAAAACCTTAGAAGAGCTTACATCGGACCATTCGCCAGTTCTCCTCTGTCTATCTGAACAGCCGCAGCTTCTGGAACGCCCCCAACATCTAACATCAAACAAAACAAACTGGCTGAAGTACAAAAAATATGTAAGTGCACACATCGAACTTGATCCTGAAATTTCCTCTGAATCTGACATTGACAAGTCGCTTAAACACCTCACGGACGTAATGTCCTCTGCCGCCAAACATTCTACGCCAGAACCCTCATCCACAAACCCGCTAAGAACTGGACGCTCAAGTATCCAGATCGAGTCTCTCCTACTTGAAAAACGTAGACTTCGCAGAGACTGGCAGACTCATCGGTCCCCAGCTACTAAGAAAAGACTTAATGAAGCATCTCGAAAATTGTCGAAGGCCCTCTCTACCGAAAATAACCAGGCCCAACGGGCCTACATTGCGAAACTATCCCCGACGGGTAATAAATTCCCACTATGGAGAGCGCACCCAAACATGCAGCCACCAATAGATCCCGTTTGGCCAATTCGATCACAAACAGGTGCCTGGGCGCGCAGTGACGAAGAAAGAGCTAACACCTTTGCCCATCACTTGGAAAACGTCTTCAAGCCCCACCCGCCATCCAACCAATTCACTCTACCGAATGTCTCGCTAGCGTCGCCGTCCTCCCCAGTCACCCTTGAAACCAGCACAATACTTAAGGCTATTAAAGAACACATAAACCCAAAAAGGCTCCTGGTCACGATTTTATTTCTCCAAAAATGATAATTGAATTACCTGCATGCGCAGTCAGATGCATCGCATTTATATTTAACTCAATATTGAAATGGGGCTACTTTCCTGACCAATGGAAAAAGTCTGTCATTACAATGATCCCGAAGCCAGGAAAAGACAAATCCCAGCCTTCCTCGTACCGGCCCATCAGTCTGCTCCCATGTCTATCAAAGCTATTTGAAAAACTGCTTCTTGTTCATCTAGTAACACATCTGCAAAACAACAGAACGATCCCTCTGCACCAATTCGGATTTAGGGAAAAGCATGGAACTATCGAACAGGTAAACCGCTTAACATCTGAAATTCGCACGGCTTTCGAACACAAGCAATATTGCAGTGCCTTATTTCTGGACGTATCACAGGCATTTGATCGCGTCTGGATCGACGGTCTGGTATACAAAATCAAAACCCTCCTACCGGAAAACACTCACAAGTTGCTTGAGTCATACCTCAGAAACAGAGTTTTCACCGTGAGATGTAAAACCTTTACTTCAACCATCCGTAACATCGAAGCTGGAGTACCCCAAGGAAGTGTGCTTGGACCAATCTTGTACATCATTTACACGGCAGACATTCCAACAAGCCGCCAGACCCTCATCTCAACCTTTGCTGACGACACTGCCATTGTCAGCCGCTCGAAATGCCCAAAAACAGCTACAGCCCATTTAAAACAACACCTGGTAGCTGTAGAAAAATGGCTCGCAGACTGGCGTATCAAAGTCAATGAGCAAAAGTGTAAGCACATTACATTTACACTAAACTTGTCGAAATGCCCACCACTGACGCTAAACAACAAGCCGGTTCCACAAGCAGACGAAGTCACCTATCTCGGCATACACCTAGACAGGAGGCTTACCTGGAGAAAGCATATAGAAGCAAAGAAGACCCATTTAAAACTAAAGGCCAGCAGCCTTCACTGGCTCATGAACTACCGCTCCCCCTTCCACTCGAATATAAAGTACTACTGTATAACTCGTGCTTAAAGCCGATCTGGACCTACGGTTCCGAGCTCTGGGGAAACGCAAGCAGCAGCAATATAGAAATTATTCAAAGAGTACAATCAAAGACCCTACGAACAATAACTGGAGCCCCCTGGTACATCCGCAATGCAAACATCCAGAGAGACCTGGATATAAATCCCGTAAAAGAAGAAATTGTTTCCAGAAAAATTAAATATGAAGCCAGATTATCAAATCACCCAAACCTGCTTGCCAGACAACTCAACCGGCTAAGCTATCATTCCCGTCTACAGCGGAATGATTTCCCATCCCTTTTTCAATAACATAAGTTAACGTAACATAGATTAAGATTTGAAAACTTATTGTTAGTCTCTTAAGTAATAGAGAAGATCCAATAAATAAGAATAAAGTATTTAAAAAAAAAAAAAAAGAAAACTCGAGAAAAAAATAATAATGTTTATTAATTTATTTTAAGATACTATCGGCAATACTATACTAGTGACGAAGCTTTTATAGAATGTCTTTAAAAAGTTGTTTTTAGCTTATCAGTTGAAAATTTGTTATGATTAGTTAAAGAAACGACGTAATTTTCCTAAGAATTTGAAAAGAAACCCAAATTTATTTTTACCAAAATCTGTCAATTAATTTACCTTTTTTTCAATATACATTTTACATTATTATTTTCCTTCCATTTTTTACAGCAATTTTACTTACGTTCCAAATATGTTCCACTTGTAACGCTTTTTGTTTTCAGGGCTGGCTAACCAAGGATGCGCATGCGCGGCAAAAATCGAGCTCAAATGTCAAGTGTCAAATTATCGGTGACGTAGATGACAGCTCCAGCTCTCTTTCGCGCCCCCTCTCTCTCTCTCTCACTCTCACTCTCTTTTTGGATGTGCTTTGGAACTTTTGGAGCAGGAGAGAAAGTCCTACAGGATAGGGATAGCGAAAATTCAACTGTGGGAGGAAAACTTCCTTTCCTTAAAGGACAGTGCTTTTTGAAAGCTTTACTCAAGCTTTTGCAGGATATAGCGTTGGCGCTGCCACAACCTCTGCCGGCGTCGCTGCTTGCGAAAAGCACTTCCTATGGAATTTCACGACATTTTATTCATTCTGTGCTAGATTTCCCGATAGTTCAAATCAGAGGTAAAGCCCCCGAAGCAAATCGAAACGAAAATACCAAAAATCCGCTAAAAACCAAATCCCAAGACCTAAGTTGTTAGCGTTTGCTATTTTCTAAATTAAATATATTTGCGAGAGTATTGGGTCCAAGAAAAAAGGAAAGAAAAAGCTAATGCCGAGTGAAACGGTGTTTTTTTTTCGTACAAATCGAGCTCTCAGTTGAGATAAAAGTGTGCTTAAGAGTGAGACGTAAGTTGCATAATTTCCACATGCCACCCAGGAAAAAAATCGGGAAAACCCAGCAACAAAATATTTTTTTCAAAGTGGTGAAATCAGGCCTACGAAAATTATAAAATTTTAAGGGCCCAATATTCATACATACATATTTCTATATTTTACATTTGTATGTAAGCGTGTGTGAGTTTGTGCGCGTGTGTGTGTGATGTGGTGTGCGTGGGTGCTATCTCACTTTCACGAATTCGTTGTCCCGCTTGCACTTGCCTTAAAAGTGCGTCTCTGAATCATCGATTTTTCCCAACAACACAAATTTGGAGGAAGAAGAATGGGGAAGGAGAAATTGAAATAAAAAAGATGTAGAAGAGAAAGAAGAAGAAGAAGAAGAAGGGTACTACTGCCCCCCATTTACAGACTGAGAGCGAGTGAGACAGCAAGAGCTGCAGTCGTCTCTCTCTTTTCTTCGCCTTTTTGGAACATACATTACATCTATCGAGCACATTTACCGTTTCAATTTCGATTACGATTACAATTCAAAAAAGGTAATAAGGCCAAAATCCAAAAAAAAAATCGTAACTCCTCTATATATATGAATATATATATAACGTAAGCTGGCAAAAAAACCAATCAAACGCTTTCAATATCAAGATCAAATAACGTTTACTCGGGCAATGTGCCAAGTGACTTGTGTGTGAAAATTAAAGCTATTCAAGCTTTCGAAGTGCGTCAACACAAATCAAAGGACCTTCTTCTCAAACTTAGAACTTTGGCACATCACACATAAGACAATTATCAAAGAAACCTATTTTTTCCTGGTTCCTTAAAGGTATGCTATTCCTTAAAAGAACATGAATACAGTGAGACTTTTATAAATGAAACAATGATTCAATGTTTTCTATAGGAAGGGCCATAAAGAACTCTGGTTGCCAATAGAAACGTAGGCGTAGACATCCGGAGCGTTCTAAGTCGGACAACTTTGTAAACCTTCCAGATAAAAGCAATTCACAAGACAGTTTTAAAAATTAGTTGTTGATAAATTTATTTTTAACATGATACTTTCCTTCAGCTAGAAACTTCTTAAGAACTAGAATATTCTTACCTACCAAAAGTTATAATATCTTACACATTTTCCTTTGAAGAGAATATATTTCCTAAAATGTTTTAGAAGGAAATACTTTTATGCCTTAAAAATATCATAATTTATTGTGAATTAAATGGGTTATGGGAACCAAAAAAAAAAAAACAAATAAAAAGTCTTAATGAAAGGGCCAAGTGTAATTAGGTTCATTAATGACAAAAATACAAATATAAAAGTTAAGCGAGCAATCAGAAATATCCGTAATGTATTCTCAAAAGTAGTAATGTTGAGTATAAACAAACGGCCTGTAAATTTCTAAAAGATAAATGGCCACAGAATGTGTTGCCTATTTTTTCGGGCAGCGAAACTTTTCCGACTGGCGTGTTTAGTGCCTCTGTATGTGTGTGTGTGTGTTTGTGTGTATGTGTGTGTGTGCGTGGGCCTCTGAGCTTTGACTGACTCAACTGTTGTTGTTGCGTTTTCCCTTCGGTGGTGTGTGGTGTGGTGGAAAAGCTCTGGCAATTCGGCAAGTTCACGTGTAGGTACACAATCGAGCGCTTTATATATACATATGTATCAAATTTTTCGCTACAATCGAGGTTTTTGCTGGACTATCTTTAGGGTTTTCCCTAAATTCTTTAAAGCGATATCGTCTGGAACACCCGATAAAACATCCACGAAGGCGGCGGTGAGTGGGCGGGCATATCGTAGTATCGCTTAATTCACCCCATTTAGTCATATCAGATTTTAGATACCCTAGTTTAGATACCGGTTCTTCGATTTTGAAGAGACGTGCATAGCATAGCATAGCTTACATAATCCCCCGTCTGCTCCTCCCACCCGCAGTTCCAAGACCCCATCCAACCAAAAACCGAACTAGAACCACACTGAATCCTACGTAGCCGCCGTAACTACCTCCACCACCACAACCACCAACCTTCATCTCCAGCGCGATTTCGCTTTCGTCACCGGAGTCAGTAAGTTTCACGACCTATTTGCAGACCGATCTCGATGTCTCCGCAATTAGATAATGCTTAAGCTACCAAAGGGCCTAAAAAAGAAAAAGAAGAAGTCGAAAAAGGACCAGGAGCTCTTCACCGAGGAGGAGCTCGAGCAGTACAAGCGCGACCTAAAGGCCAAGCAGGAGGCGGCGGCCACCAAATCGGACGCCGGCGAATCCGACGGAGCGGCATCAGACGTCGAGGGCCACCACGAGCCCGTAGCCTCCCATTCGGGACAGCGATCGGGATCGGGATCGGGATCGGGAGCGGGATCGGCAGCGGGATCGGGATCACAAGGGGGATCGGGATCTGGAGCGGGCCATCACCAGGCACCGGGATCATCCGCCAGCCACGCCCACCAACAGCAGGGCGAGCCAAATCAAGGAGCTGCCGGCGGCGACGAGGAGTGGGCCAAGTTCAAGGCACTCACCTCCGGCGTCGATAGCATCCTACACAAGACCCAGGACGAGCTCGATCGGATCAAGAAGGAGTCCTTCTACCAGCGCCTGCCCTCCGCCGCCGAGAAGAAGAAGCAGGAGGAGGAGGAGGCCGCTCGCCTCGAGGAGGAGCGACAGGAGCAGGAGCGCCAGCGCCTGGGACAGATCGAGGCGCAGCGCGACAAGCTAGCCGAGGCGGTTGTCCACCTATCCGAATCGGAGGAGGAGGCCGGCGACTACGAGGCCGATGACATCTTCGCCACCGACTACATCGAGGCGATCACCAGTGGAGAGCTGCAACTAGCCGTTGTCCCCGACTCGCCGATCCTCGCCGACGACGGGCCCGATCCCTTCGACACCGCCTACGCCGAGAAGGTCATTGTCGGCGCCGACCGCTCCAAGGGCAACAAGAAGCTAGTGAGCTTGGGAGCAGCAGTTGAGGTGCTATCCGGTCGCGTGGACCGCGAGCACGCCGTCGCCCTAGCGAATCCCAAGCGGAAGTTGCGCAAGGGCATCCAGAACCTCCTGCTCAGCGAGAGCGTTGAGCTAGCCGATCCGGAGGCGGACCTTCTGGCCGCCGTCGCCAACGCCGAGCCGCAGCACAATCTGCTCGACGATCTCGACGAGGAACTGCCCGAGTCCTCGGCCCCCATTGATCTCAGTGTCTCGCTGCACTTGCACCTGATCAAACACAAGCCCGTCGAGGAGGACGAGGAGGAGGATCAGCAGGATCCGCTGAACCAGCAGCTCAATCCCGATCTAGCCGAGTTCGATGCCCTCAAGGACGACGAGGACGACGAGTTCGCCGAACTAGCCGCCGAGTCGCTGACCAAAAAGGAGGAGGTCACCATCGTCAGCCAAGTGGTTTTGCCCGCCGCGGAACTGCCAACTGAAGCTTTTGGCGAAGGCAGCTGGGCCGAATTCGAAGCGGAACCGGAACAGGAAACAGGTGAGATTCCCCAGTGCTACTGCCTTACTGCCTCCTTTGACCTGCTCCAAAAACTATTTATCAAGAAAGGTTCCAAGCAATTCCGGTGTTTTACTGAAATCTCCACAGACTCAATACCTTTGGGGGGCTCTCAAAAATCAAAAATCTCAATGTTTGAGTTGAAAAGTTATAAGCCAAATTTACGAAATCACTCATCTTTAATTTCCTTAATGTCCAAAAGTCCCACGTTCTGTTTTCGTTGCATACTTTTATACACCTTTTTATGTGAGTTTAAGACTCAAGTAGAAAATAAAAGCATCCCAATTAAATTCTTTCAGCCATGAAATTCGGGTGCAGTAGACAAGTATTAAAATAAGGAGACTTGATTATAATCAATACCACCTTAAAAAAATATGGCGTGTTCCAAGAATCCTGAAAAACTTAAAAAAATTCTGCTATGTAGTATCGTCGTATATACTTTTTAAAATATATCGTTAATTAGGGTGTATGAACATTTTAATATTGCGCTTGAACTTTCAGAAAATCAATTCGTTCAGAAGAAAGTAAAAGTGCCAACAATTATTCTTTTTAGACAGGTGACATTTCTGCTGTTAGTACTCTACATGTTCCAGAAGTTTGATAGAAATTTGTGAGGTTAACACATTTAAGGCCGTTTTACACAATCTTTATTCTCATTGGGTATTTTCCGGTAGCTAAAGGGTGAACTGGTTTTGAATATATGTTAATATCTGTGTTCCTAACTACCAGTTGCAATGTTATTTCAACACATAAGATAATAACTTACGTAAACTGTTTAAAGACAAACATGTTTACTTTTACAAACCTCTAGAACACAATCCACAATCTATGTGCCCATTTATAAATCACGAGCTATTAAAAACACTGTCCACCTAGTCGCTCTGCTAACCAATCAACCCACCTTTCTTTCATCTCCAGGAAAACCCAAGCGTCCACCGCCACCAGTTCGTCCACCCACAGGACCCCACATCGTACCCGGTGCCATCTTCGTTTCGGACGACGAGGAGGAGAATCCCGACGACGATCCCTTCAACACCAACTACGCGGAGCAGGTGATCAAGAAGACCACCGTCCTCGAGGAGGACGACGACTTCGATCCGCGGGCGGAGGAACCGGCCACCGGGCCATCCTCTCTAGCGGCCCCAGCCCGCGACCTTCTCGCCGGGAGCGCCACCGATCTCAGCAAGGTGGTGCCCGCGCCCTTGGCGCCCACTTTGAGTGTCGACCAGGAGGCCGAGGACTTCGATCCCTTCGACACCTCGGCGATATCGGCCTTGGTGCAGCCAAAGGCCACAGAGCTGCGCTTTTTGGAGCGCGAACTGCTGAACGAGTCGGGCGGAGGAGGACTCAAGCACTCCCTGAGTGACCCGGACTTTGATCCACGAGCGGATCAGGAGGAGCCGGCGGCCAACGAACCGCGGGTGAAGGTTGACCAAATACAGCCGGACTTCGACGCCGCCCGCCGGAAGTCCTCGCTGAGCCTGAACATCCAGGCGAAGAGTGTGGGCTTCCTGGTGCCAGCACCGGACCTCCTCGGAGCGGGTAATGAGTTGGGGGCCAACAAGAAGCCACTGACGCCGTACTACGCACCCACTGGGAATCCGCTGAAGGAGCGGGAGCACGAAGCCGAGGACGTTGATCCCTTCGACACGTCCTACGTGCCCGAGGCGAAGCTCAGTGACATAGAGCTGAAGCATATTGAAAAGGACCTGATCTCGCAGCCGGCGACTCTGCGGCACAGTCTCTCCGACCCGGACTTCGATCCCAGGGCACCGCCCACACCGATTCCCGCCGAGGTTCTGCTGGCCGTCGAGGAGAACATCGACATCAAGGTATTGACACCCGCCCAGGAGCGAAAGAAGCTAACCAATTGCGGCGGGGGTGGCGATTCCGAGGAGGACCTCGACATCGACCCCTTCGACACGTCCATAGCGGCGAATCTCCGGCCGGGACAGACGGAGCTGAAGCTCCTGGAAAACGAATTGCTACCGGAGACGAGGACCCGGGTGACCGACGTCCTAGACGTTCAGAGCGACGCCCAGGAGTTGGGCTTGGGCGACAAGGTACTCACGCCATCGACGCACTCCAGACCGATCCTGCCCGCCCAGGATATTGAGATCGATCCCTTCGACACCTCCATTGCCGAGAATCTAGCGCCCGGCGAAACGGAAATCAAGCTCCTCGAAAGCGAACTAATCGAGCGCTAAGTGGAGAGAATCGAAGCACACAATCTTATTCGTAAAAGAAAAACCCGGAATCATGGCGAATCCCTTCTTGATGGACGACGACCTGGATGGCTGCGATATGGCCGCCAATCCGTTTCTCATGCAATCAGAGCCGGAACCTAGTACCGATAATCCCTTTGGAGCAGGTATGTAGCGAAATCGTTCTATTTTATATTTAATTGGCCCACCAAGGTTATAAAATCACTCAAATTGTGAAACCACTAGGGTTTTGAAACTCCAAATTGTCATCACAATTGCTTTAAAACTAGAACAGTGCCCAAAATGTCCGGTTGTTAAGTGACCTACTCTATCTTTACTATAAATACAGTAGAAAATAGAGCTACGCCAAATCGATACTTTCAAAAAATATTAAATAACTAAAAATGTTATGATGAAGGAAAACACTATACATGTGAAGATTATAGTTAAACCTGGGTTTATACTAAAAATTTGATGAATCAAAAGGATCGTGTTCACACCACAAACAAAATATAAACATAAACCGCACTTCTGGTTGATCAAATGACTTGAAAATATAGGAAAAAATATGAAAATATGAAAAACCAAATAATAGAACAAGTTTTAAATGTATATTACGCTTACAACAAATTTCGAGTTGTTAAACTTTTAGTTTCGTTAAAGTAATTTATTTTCTTGAGTAACATTTGCACTTCTTCATTTAGCGACTGGTGCCTCCAATCCCTTTGCCTTTGGCGGAGACGATCTCGAGGCGGAGGCGGAACCGGAGGCGGAGGCAGCCCGTGACAGCGATCTCGACCCGGCGATGAGTTTCTTTGGCACCACGATCGAGGCGGAGGACGATGCGCTGAGTCTGAAGTCCGGGGCCGAGGAGGAGGACGAGGGCGGGAAGAGGCCGCCGCAGCAGCCACACGCACACCCGCCCCCGCCACGCCCCCCAGGCGCCACCGCAGAGCACCCAGGATCTGATCAGCACGGTGTCCAGTCAGCTGGAGGAGACCAGCTCGGAGCTGCTGGGCCGCATCCCGGCCACCCGATCCCCCAGTCCGGTCTCGATGCGGGACCTGCACTCGCCGAGTCCCACTCCCGACTCCGGACTGGCCGACCTGCTGGACGTGTCGGTGGACAGCGGATCGAGTGCCCACATCCAGGGCATGGAGGTGGACCTGATGGGTGGTCTTGGCGGCGGCGGTGTTGTGCCCATGGACAATCCCTTTGCGGTGCCGACGGCGGTGCCGAACATCCAGGCGGCAGCACCACTGCCCGCCACGCCGGTGAAGCAGCCGCCACGCCCACCGCCACCACGCCCCGCTCCGCCGCGTCCCACGCCGCCCGGCCAGGTGGCGCCACAACGACCACCGCCACCGGTGGCCGCGGCCGCTCCTCCTCCGCCCGATTCGGATGATCTGCTGGACATGTTCGGCACCACGGCGAGCAGGCCACCGAAGCCACCGCCACCCAAGTCCAAGGAGGACATCCTGAGTCTCTTCGAGCAGCCCCAAGCACCGCCAGCACCCAAACCGGATTTACTCCATGACGATCTGCCCGAGACGAGGCCGGAGGAGGGGCAGCCAGAGCGGGAGGACAAGGACAAGGAGAAGGACGAGGCGGAGGAGGAGAGGGATGGGGAGGCGGATGCGGAGGGCACGACCTCGCGGGATGAGCCGGTATTTACCTCCCTGCTGATACGACCGGACGAGAGCACCCATGACATAACCTCCCAACCGCAGGCGGCCACTGGATTGGAGCGACAGGCGAATCACATGGCGGCCCCGCCGGAAACGGCCAGCAGACAGCGGGCACCCACGCCGGATATCGAGATCACCACGGTGGAGGATCTACCCCGATCCGATGACGAGGACGAGGAGGAGCCGGCGGTGAAGCGGGAACCGGAGCCGGAAGCGCAGCCGGAGGCAGAGCCACAAATCGAACCGGAAGCGGAGCCCGAGATCATCTCCGATCACAGTCCGCCAACGGAGTCCCTGGTGACCACCCAGGTGGGCCTCCCCGAGGACGAACCACTGGCCAGTGAGCCGGAACCGGAGCCGGAGCAAATGGACACCGGACTGGACTTCCCCCTGGCCACCAGTGGCCTGGCCAGCGGCCAGCTGTCCGCCAATCCCTTCGCCAGTCCCGAGGAGGAGGAGGAGCCGAGCTTCGCACCCGTGCCCGCCGTGGTGGCCAACATCTTTGCCATCGACGATCCGGAGCCGGAGGTGGAGCCACCTCGGACGGAGGTGGCACCCAGCTACACGGCCAACATCTTCGCCGCCGAGCCGGACGAATTCGATGCCTTCTCGGCGAAGTTCGACTCGGTAAAGAAGGACAACATCAGCATCCTGGACGGTTTCGGAGGATCCGGAGCCATAACGCCCACGGGCGGAGATGGTGAGTAATTCATTGCACATTTACTGACATAGCTTATAATGGATTTTCGATACTAATTAAAGTATATATGTACATAAATTGAGTGATTCTCTGCACTTAAGATGATCATTTAATAGTACACTTAAATTCAATTTGATATGGATTATATTATATATGTATATCTTTATACCCTAACATGTTTTGAATTTATTATAGTTAGAATATTATTATCGAGTGGCTGGTTATCAAAATATTATTTATTTTTTAAAGCTAAGTAATATGGCAATTAATTTACACTAAAAAAAATAAGTCAGATTTGTTTATAATTAGATATTAAAATATATTTTTTCACAATTGCAAAATTTGATATTTATATTACAAATTGGAAACTTATGAAATAGTAACTTTACGTAACACGTTCACATAAGGGTTATCATCAATTGTGTTTATTGAACTTAAAAAAATGGCTTAATGACTCATTGGTACTCTATAACTATCCTTCAAAACGAAAAAAAAGAAATGGTACAAATAATAGATCGTTATAACGCTCTTATAGTAATAATACTATCATTTTAACCGTTTAGAAGTGTGGTTAAACTTGGCTTCGATCAAGTGTGGAAGTGCCTGAGGCCGACTACGGATGTTAAGTCCTTACTTTTTCGTAGCTGATATATGGGTCTTGGTGCAAGAACGCTAGAACCAGTTGGGAATTATAAACGTATTAAAGGAATAAAAACCAGAAACCTAAACTTAAATTTTTTTTTATAATTTTAAACTTTTTGTATACCCTTATTGTGTGCATTGAGATAACTGATGTGTTCCACTTTGCAGCTTGGGGTGACAGTGCATTCGGATCGGCCACAATCTCGGCGAATGCCTTTGGCGACACCAACTCAGCGGACGATGGATTCGGCAACGAGGACGACGACTTCTATGCAATGCAGGCCCCGGCACGCGCCGACTCCGTGGAATCGGTGGACAAGGAATTCAGCGTGGTCATCCGGCCGAAGGCGGAGGGCACTGGTGGAGTGGCCCCCCAGCTGGCGCCACCTCCTCCGCCGGCGCGGACTGCCGCCCAGGCACAGAGCACATCGCCGCCCGGCTCAACGGTGAATCCCTTCGAGGATGTCAGTGGCTTCCCGGCTCCCGGGCAGCCGGCGCAGGCCGATGGAACCGCCATGAAGCGCACGGACTCACAGGACACGCCGCAGACGCCACTCTACGATGAGGATGTGTCGCAGCCGCTGGAGGAGTTCCCGCGACTGCATTACATGGGACCCGGCTGGGAGATGCAGCTGCGGCAGCCCAACAAGAAGAAGATCACCGGCCAGCGGTTCTGGAAGAAGATCTTCGTCCGCCTGGTGGTGCAGAACGATGTGCCGGTGGTGCAGTTGCTCAACCAGGCCGGCGACAAGCAGCCCTTCCAGGAGCTGCCGCTGCAGCCGTCCTACTCCGTATCGGAGATCGGGGCCCAGCAGTACGACCAGTTCGGGAAGATATTCACGATGAAGCTGCAGTACATATTCTACAAGGAGCGACCCGGCGTGAGGCCCGGCCAGGTGACCAAGGCGGAGCGGATCACCAACAAGCTGACCAAGTTCGCACAATACGCCATCGCTGGCGACTACGAGGGCGTCAAGGAGTTTGGCAGCGACCTCAAGAAGCTGGGCCTGCCCGTGGAGCATGCGCCGCAGTCGTCGCAGCTCTTCAAGATCGGATCGATGAACTACGAGGACATGAAGCAGTTCTCCGTCTGCATCGAGGAGGCCCTCTTCAAGCTGCCCGCCCTGCGCGAACGGGCATTGACCTACAAAATGGAGGAGGTGCAGGTGACCGCCGTGGATGAGATCACTGTGGAGCAGGACTTCGAGGGCAAGATCCTCAAACAGATCGCTCGGGTGCGACTCTTCTTCCTCGCCTTCCTCACCGGCATGCCCACCATCGAGCTGGGCGTGAACGATATGTGGCGGCAGGGGAAGGAGGTCGTCGGCCGGCACGACATCATCCCGGTGGCCACCGAGGAGTGGATCCGGCTGGAGGCCGTTGAGTTCCACAGCGTGGTCAATCAGCAGGAGTACGAGAGAACGCGTACCATCAAGTGAGTGGAGATAAGTGGGGGGAGTGATCTCTTTGGGGCTGCCCATATATTGCGTAATCATGGTTGTGGCACCCCTTCCCCATTCAATTATTAAAATGATGAATCCCCATGATTGCGTAATGTATGGAAGCCCCTGTTGGGTAGCAAGATCACTCGCTTAAATTTTAGCAGAAGGTTTAACCAGTGGAAAGTTCATCCCTGAGCTAAAGTGAACCACTCAACAAGTAAACTACTGAGCATGGATGAAAATCAACAATAAATTAATTTATATTTGGGTCAAGTAAATAAAAAACATGGAAAAATCGCAAATGAACAAAGAAAGAAAAGCACAATAGCGCAAATAAACATCTGACCTAGCGCGCTAATGAAAAAATGAACATCTGAGTGCGCTAATAAACAAATGAACATCTGAGCAGGAAAGCAAGTGAACAACTGGAAAACTAATCCCAAAGACCGTTTAAATGAACAATTATAAAAAAATAAGAGTGAACATGATGAGTTGATTAGCCCAAACAACTTTTTTATTTTTCCTTTGCTGATGAAGGGGTTTTCTATAGCTAACACGAAACCATTGTCAATCTCCTCCAGATTCCAACCGCCCGATGCCAACTACATTGAACTGCTGCGCTTCCGTGTGCGTCCGCCCAAGAATCGCGAACTTCCGCTGCAGCTGAAGGCCACCTGGTGCGTCACCGGCAACAAGGTGGAGCTGCGGGCCGACATCCTGGTGCCGGGCTTCACTTCCCGCAAGCTGGGCCAGATCCCCTGCGAGGATGTCTCGGTGCGCTTCCCCATTCCCGAGTGCTGGATCTACCTGTTCCGCGTGGAGAAGCACTTCAGGTGGGTACCTTCTGCAACGATCAACGCAACATAACTCACTTTAATGGTGCACTTTTCCTTGGGGGCTGGAGCAGATATGGTTCGGTCAAGTCGGCACATCGGCGAACTGGCAAGATCAAGGGAATCGAGCGGATCCTGGGAGCCGTGGACACGCTGCAGGAGTCGCTGATCGAGGTCACCTCCGGACAGGCCAAGTACGAGCATCATCATCGGGCCATAGTGTGGCGATGTCCGCGATTGCCCAAGGAGGGTCAGGGTGAGTTACATCGGCATAAATGGACCGATATCTATAATTTCGTTTAAAATCATTTAAGACCATACAAAGTAATATTACTAGGGGTGAAAAGTAACCTCCTTCACCTCTAAAAAATTGATGGTGCCTTATATACAGGAATTACAAATTGTATCCCTTGGTTTTCTTTGCTGACTTGTTTTCCTCATATTGTAGAAAGTGGGAATACTACATTTATCGATTCGAACAATTTGAATCTTACCAATAAATAATCCAGCTCTATCCGAAATTTAATTTTCGGAAGAGAGCAAAAAGTGGAAAATCTGTGAAATAAGTGAATCAAACTAAATGAAGAACATTTTAAAAATGAATAAAAATAAAAAAAAATATTTTTCACTTTCAAGGACGTTACTTTTCATTCCACCTAGTATATAAATCGTGATATTTTTGATAGTAAATGTGATATTAAAATATATGCTAAAAATAGTACAAATTCTGGATATACAATATTCAAAACTTGACCCTTTCTTCCGGCAGGTGCCTATACCACACATCAGCTGGTCTGCCGCATGGCCCTCACCTCGTACGACCAGATCCCCAGCGAACTGGCGCCATACGCCTTCGTGGAGTTCACTATGCCCGCCACGCAGGTCTCGCATACCACCGTGCGCTCCGTGAGTGTCCAGGATTCGGATGCCGACGAGCCGCCGGAGAAGTACGTCCGCTACTTGGCACGGCACGAGTACAAGTGAGTAGTGGTCCAGAAATCCTTAATCGGTTTTGAGATGAAGAGCTGTTTACCCATATCAATATTAATTTTAAATGTTCAATGTTGTATAACGTGTTTTTGTTAGCGGTTAGAATTTAATGCATAGGTAGCCAATAGTGTTGAAAAATTAAATTAATGTGCAATTTCATTGATAATATATATTTGTGCTTTAAAAAATTCAAATTATAGGACCATTCCTATTTATATAAATAAAAATGCTGTGTTCGAAATAAGAATAATATAGAATTTATGTATATAACAAAACTTTTTCCATTTAAAAGCCCTCGATTTTTTTTAGTGAGTTGCCTAACAAAAGAATAGAATAAATGGAAAATATGTAATATTTTTTTGTATTGATTAAATGGTTAGAAAGATCTTTTGCTTATATGTTATTACCTAAAAAACATTTTAGAATTTGTTTGAGTATTCTTCTACTTTGACATGAAGTTAATGCATTATTTATACTATTGCTCAGATAATTATTTCTGTTATTATAATACACTATTATTAAACATATCAGATTGGTTGAAATTAGAAGTACTACTATTAAACATTTAAAATCGATTGAAATCAGGAGAAGGCCCGTTAAAATCGTACACCCACCGACCCCTGAACTCTTCCCTTCCAGGGTTGGCATCGAGTTAGTTTTTAGTGTGTTGCATAACAAAAGAATAGAATAAATTGAAAATATGTAATATTTTGTTGTATTGATTAAATGGTTAGAAAGATCTTCTGCTTATATGTTATTACCTAAAAAACATTTTAGAATTCGTTTGAGTATTCTTCTACTTTGATATGAAGTTAATGCCTTATTTATACTATTGATCAGATAATTACTTCTGTTGTTATAATACACTACTATTAAACATATGAAATGAAATCAGAAGTAACACTACTATTCAACATTTGAAATCCGTTGAAATCAGGAGAAGGCCCGTTAAAATCGCACACCCACTGACCTCTGAACTCTTCCCTTCCAGGGTTGGCATCGAGTTAGTTTTTAGTGTGTTGCATAACAAAAGAATAGAATAAATTGAAAATATGTAATATTTTGTTGTATTGATTAAATGGTTAGAAAGATCTTCTGCTTATTTGTTATTAACTAAAAAACATTTTAGAATTCGTTTGAGTATTCTTCTACCTTGACATGAAGTTAATGCCTTATTTATACTATTGATCAGATAATTACTTCTGTTATTATAATACACTACTATTAAACATATGAAATTGGTTGAAATCAGAAGTAACACTACTATTCAACATTTGAAATCGGTTAAAATAAGGATAAATCGTACACCCACTGACCTCTGAACTCTTCCCTTCCAGGGTTGGCATCGAGACCACGCACGGCGAGTCCACGAACGCGTATCTGGCGGCAACGCGTCCCATTCGCGAGGAGCCGCCCAGCACGGCCGCCAAGGTCACGGCCTCCCCGGTTCCGCCCAGCGACTCGGACTCGGACTCCAACTAAGCTGGGATGGGGAACTCCTGACTTAAGGCTCCAAGCTCCCAACTACCAACTACCAACTATAAACTCCCAACTGAATTGAAAGACAGCGGCTTTCTGTAGATATTCCTCGTGCATGGTTTACCCAATCGTTCTTGTTATATACATATTATACAATACGCATAGATATATCTGACCCCTAATATATGCATATATATTTTCGTGTGCGTCTGCCGCAATTTTCCCCTCTAGCTTGTGCAGCGTGTTCATCGCGTCGGGTTAGGTAAAGATTAGTTGACAATAATGTTAAGTGCAGCAGCCGAAGAGTGCGAAGATTACGAAGATTACGAAGCAGACGATGAGAGATGAACACTGTGTAAAAAGCCAAATGAACGAGGATCGAGATGAAGCTGATGGATCTGTGGATCTGTGGACACGTCAACGGAGGAACCGATAGCTAAGGCGTCCTAGGTATCCTAAATCCTGTAAGCCGCATAGCCACAGCCATAATCACATGACCTAACCTAGCCTAGCCTAAAAACAAAAAACAAAAACTTATCTGCGTTACTTACTAGCCATACGATCACGTTAAAGTTAATCGATATCAGACCAGAATCGTACGTAAAGTCAACCCATACATATGCATAGGGATAATGGTTATATTCTCAAGTCATAAACACAGACACACACACACGAAGCATATATTTACTATAACTGATGTAATCTGAAGTAAGCAGTAAGCCAGGGAAACGAAAAGCAATTTCGCCATACATCGTTCTTAATTCGAGGGCTCAAATGCACATAAGGTTAACCAATACTGAAACGAGCTGCCAGCCTTACATAAGGTTAACCAACACTGGGTCGAGTTTGTTGGCTTCGCATAATGTTAACCAAAAACTGGAACAAGCTGCCAGCTACACATACGGTTAATCAACACTGGAATGTGCGACCCGCTTTGCGTGACGTTAATCAACCCTGGACGGAGCTGCCAGGCTTACATAAAGTTAACCAACACTGGCCAGACTGCATACGTGGAAAGCGGAACTTGGTACTATCCATAGCCATCAGATACTTTTTAAGCTTTATGTATACCATTGATTTAACGATAAATTTAGAGATGAATTCAAAACTCCAAGCAAAAGCGAAAACTTAAACGGAAATGCATATTCAAATGTTATTGTTGTGAATCAAATGAAATTATATTCAAACTAAACTAAAAAGTAAAGGAAAATCATATAGGCAAATCATCTTTGTTGAAGCAAAAAGTACATTAAAGTATATGAGGAAAACAAAAAGCAAAACCTAACGTAAAACTAAACAAAGATATTCAAACTATATGCCATACGTATTGATTGATAACTGATTGATTGAGTTTACTAGCAAGATTGCATAATAATAGATTTGTTAATTGCGTGTTAAATGAATATATTCTATGATCCCAGCTTAACCACCTCCCAAAACGTTTGCCTCTGTTCGATTTCTTATCCCCTCAACTCAAAATCCCTTACACTCTAAATCCATATGCCATGTCAGACAGCTATATACCTACTACGAACACTTCGAACGACTCTCAATGGAATCACGATTTATTGATAATAGAGAATGTGTATATTGTACCCCTAAGAAATGAATCTTCATTCATATATTATGTATGTTACATTATTTACCTACGTTTAATTCTACATATATTATATATCGTCTATAGCATATGTATTGTATGTACAATAAAAAAAGAAGAAAGCCCATGCAAACAGACCGATCGGTTGACAAAACACTCTCACATGTTATATTTATATATTAATTATACAAATATCGACGGCTCCGCCGCAATATATTCCCCCGATCCGAGTCGGACTGAGGGCATATACTGCGCCGGCACTGGTCGCTATTATACAAATATGCGGCGCAAGCTAATGGTATTAACCGATCAACTAAATACAATATAACTAAATACAAAAAAAAGCATTATGATGGAACATTATCTAGTCAAATGAGAAAATAAATATTGAGACAACAAATATTAAGCAATGCAAACTGGCTTCTTTTTTTTAACTGGATATTGGGATTTGATTTGGCTGGAAAATAAAATAATAATGCAGATTTTTAGAGTTTGGTAAAGTTATGGACTCTAGAAGTCCAATTTTGAGACCTTCTACTACAAGACATCGGAAAATTAGAAATAACTAACATGAAAATGGGTCAAAAATTTGACTAATGCTAAAATGAAAATTTTCTTTAGAGGTATGTCACTTTGAAATCGGATTACATTTGGTCAAGTTATGGACTCTGGAAGTCCAATTGTAAGTCACCATTTTACAAATCATGGGAAACATGAAAAAAATGACATGAAAATGGGTCAAAAATATGATCAACGTTAAAATGAAAATTTTGAATGCAGTTTTTTAGAGAATCAAACCACAAGTCTTAGGAGGTAAGCCACTTTGAAATCGGATTAAATTTGGTAATGTTATGAACTCTGGAAGTCCAATTGTAGGTCACCTTTTTACAAATCATGGAAAACATGAAAAAATGACATGAAAATGGGTCAAAAAATTTGATCAACGTTAAAATGAAAATTTTAAATGCAGTTTTTTAGAGAATCACAAGTCTTTAGAGGTATGCCACTTTGAAATCGGATTAAATTTGGTAAAGTTATGGACTCTGGAAGTCCAATTGTAAGTCACCTTTTTACAAATCATGGGAAACATGAAAAAATGACATGAAAATGGGTCAAAAATATGATCAACGTTAAAATGAAAATTTTGAATTCAGTTTTTTAGAGAATCAAACCACAAGGCTTAAGAGGTATGCCACTTTAAAATCGGATTAAATTTGGTAATGTTATGGACTCTGGAAGTCCAATTGTAGGTCACCTTTTTACAAATCATGGGAAACATGAAAAAAATGACATGAAAATGGGTCAAAAATTTTATCAACGTTAAAATGAAAATTTTAAATGCAGTTTTTTAGAGAATCAAACCACAAGTCTTAAGAGGTATGCCACTTTTAAATCGGGTTAAATTTGGTAAAGTTATGGACTCTGGAAGTCCAATTGTGGGTCCCTTTTTTTCAAGTCATGGGAAACATGAAAAAAATGACATGAAAATGGGTCAAAAATTTGATCAACGTTAAAATGAAAATTTTGAATGCAGTTTTTTAGAGAATCAAACCACAAGTCTTAAGAGGTATGCCACTTTGAAATCGGATTAAATTTGGTAAAGTTATGGACTCTGGAAGTCCAATTGTAAGTCACCTTTTTACAAATCATGGGAAACATGAAAAAAATGACATGAAAATGGGTCAAAAATATGATCAACGTTAAAATGAAAATTTTGAATGCAGTTTTTTAGAGAATCAAACCACAAGTCTTAGGAGGTAAGCCACTTTGAAATCGGGTTAAATTTGGTAAAGTAATGGACTCTGGAAGTCCAATTGTGGGTCCCTTTTTTTCAAGTCATGGGAAACATGAAAAAAATGACATGAAAATGGGTCAAAAATTTGATCAACGTTAAAATGAAAATTTTAAATGCAGTTTTTTAGAGAATCAAACCACAAGTCTTAAGTGGTATGCCACTTTGAAATCGGATTAAATTTGCTTACAATTGGACTCTGGAAGTCCAATTGTAAGTCACCTTTTTACAAATCATGGGAAACATGAAAAAAATGACATGAAAATGGGTCAAAAATATGATCAACGTTAAAATGAAAATTTTGAATGCAGTTTTTTAGAGAATCAAACCACAAGTCTTAGGAGGTAAGCCACTTTGAAATCGGATTAAATTTGGTAATGTTATGAACTCTGGAATTCCAATTGTAGGTCACCTTTTTACAAATCATGGGAAACATGAAAAAAATGACATGAAAATGGGTCAAAAATATGATCAACGTTAAAATGAAAATTTTAAATGCAGTTTTTTAGAGAATCAAACCACAAGTCTTAAGAGGTATGCCACTTTGAAATCGGATTAAATTTGGTAAAGTTATGGACTCTGGAAGTCCAATTGTAAGTCACCATTTTACAAATCATGGGAAACATGAAAAAAATGACATGAAAATGGGTCAAAAATATGATCAACGTTAAAATGAAAAATTTGAATGCAGTTTTTTAGAGAATCAAACCACAAGTCTTAGGAGGTAAGCCACTTTGAAATCGGGTTAAATTTGGTAAAGTAATGGACTCTGGAAGTCCAATTGTGGGTCCCTTTTTTTCAAGTCATGGGAAACATGAAAAAAATGACATGAAAATGGGTCAAAAATTTGATCAACGTTAAAATGAAAATTTTGAATGCAGTTTTTTAGAGAATCAAACCACAAGTCTTAAGTGGTATGCCACTTTGAAATCGGATTAAATTTGGTAAAGTTATGGACTCTGGAAGTCCAATTGTAAGTCACCATTTTACAAATCATGGGAAACATGAAAAAAATGACATGAAAATGGGTCAAAAATTTGATCAACGTTAAAATGAAAATTTTGAATGCAGTTTTTTAGAGAATCAAACCACAAGGCTAAAAAGGTATGCCACTTTGAAATCGGATTAAATTTGGTAAAGTTATGGACTCTGGAAGTCCAATTGTAGGTCACATGAAAAAAATGACATGGAAATGGGTCAAAAATTTGATCAACGTTAAAATGAAAATTTTGAATGCATTTTTTTAGAGAATCAAACCACAAGTCTTAAGAGGTATGCCACTTTGAAATCGGATTAAATTTGCTTACAATTGGACTCTGGAAGTCCAATTGTAAGTCACCTTTTTACAAATCATGGGAAACATGAAAAAAATGACATGAAAATGGGTCAAAAATATGATCAACGTTAAAATGAAAATTTTGAATGCAGTTTTTTAGAGAATCAAACCACAAGTCTTAGGAGGTAAGCCACTTTGCAATCGGATTAAATTTGGTAAAGTTATGGACTCTGGAAGTCCAATTCTAAGTCACCATTTTACAAATCATGGGAAACATGAAAAAAATGACATGAAAATGGGTCAAAAATTTGATCAACGTTAAAATGAAAATTTTGAATGCAGTTTTTTAGAGAATCAAACCACAAGTCTTAAGTGGTATGTCACTTTGAAATCGGATTTAATTTGGTAAAGTTATGGACTCTGGAAGTCCAATTGTAAGTCACCATACAAATCATGGGAAACATGAAAAAAATGACATGAAAATGGGTCAAAAATATGATCAACGTTAAAATGAAAATTTTGAATGCAGTTTTTTAGAGAATCAAACCACAAGTCTTAGGAGGTAAGCCACTTTGAAATCGGATTAAATTTGGTAATGTTATGGACTCTGGAAGTCCAATTATAAGTCACCATTTTACAAATCATGGGAAACATGAAAAAAATGACTTGAAAATGGGTCAAAAATTTGATCAACGTTAAAATGAAAATTTTGAATGCAGTTTTTTAGAGAATCAAACCACAAGTCTTAAGGGGTTATCCGGGTCTTGACACTTCAAAAAATTCATTTTTTTCAAACTTTTTTATATAATAGTACAAAGTTTCAGGAATGTTGTCTGAAAATTTCAAGTCGATCGAAGCAAAAATGTAGGAATGGGAGAAAATTAAAGCCCAGCGCTTCGAACGTCACAACGGGCAATTCGGGCTCTGGCGTCGGGCAGATGCTGCACTTTAAACGCGTTTTTCTCAAAACCACTTTTTTGAAGTCGGTAGTCACGATTTCTCAAAAACTATTGCACCGATCAACTTCTGCTTATGCACACTTCTTTTAGACATAATTATCTTGTCCTTAACGGAGGGATTTTTTTAATTTTTAATTACAACTCATTTTATAAGCCAAAATATGACCAAAATTTTCGTAAAAAAGGACACTTTTTATGAAAAGCGCTACAAAAAATTCAATTTTTAATTTAAAAAAAAAATGGCTCGTAGAGGACAAGCGAGACACACGCACTATCAGAATAATTTTAGTTTTTTGATTTCAGATAAAAATTGACGGAGATATTTTGCCTACCGCAAGGGCACAATTTTTTAAGAGGTCAAGTTCAAGCCTGCCTCAACGGCTCAATTTAAAAATTTTTTGGTTCAAATTTTTACACAATGTTGGACAAACCATAAACATTAATGAACAATAAACGAAATTTGTGAAATTGTCGTAAGATCTTTTAAAAAAATTCACGAAAATAGGCTTTTTTTCGTGCTTCAAGACCCGGATAACCCCTTAAGAGGTATGCCACTTTGAAATCGGATTAAATTTGGTAAAGTTATGGACTCTGGAAGTCCAATTATGGGTCCCTTTTTTTCAAGTCATGGGAAACATGAAAAAAATGACATGAAAATGGGTCAACAATTTGATCAACGTTAAAATGAAAATTTTAAATGCCGTTTTTTTTGAGAATCAAACCACAAGTCTTAAGAGGTATGCCACTTTGAAATCGTTTTAAATTTGGTAAAGTTATGGACTCTGGAAGTCCAATTGTAAGTCACCATTTTACAAATCATGGGAAACATGAAAAAAATGACATGAAAATGGGTCAACAATTTGATCAACGTTAAAATGAAAATTTTAAATGCCGTTTTTTTTGAGAATCAAACCACAAGTCTTAAGAGGTATGCCACTTTGAAATCGTTTTAAATTTGGTAAAGTTATGGACTCTGGAAGTCCAATTGTAAGTCACCATTTTACAAATCATGGGAAACATGAAAAAAATGACATGAAAATGGGTCAAAAATTTGATCAACGTTAAAATGAAAATTATGAAAGCAGTTTTTTAGAGAATCAAACCACAAGTCTTAAGAGGTATGCCACTTTGAAATCGGATTAAATTTGGTAAAGCTATGAGCTCTAGAAGTCCGATTTTGGGTCAGCTATGGCAGCTTTATGATATTGTTGTCTGATTTCGACAAAACTAAAAGCGTAGTTCTGATATAGTAAATAATTACTATATCTCAAAGGAATATTTTTATAAAAGGAAAAAAAAGCAAAATTTTTTTTTTTAATTTTTAA